TTTTTTCCACTAGTAAAAGTATGTTTGTTAGCAAGAACCAGACCAAGCTATTTTCTTTCAGCCTTTGTTGACAAGTGAGCTGAAAAGAGCCATGAATACTGCAAATGATCATGGTTTTTGTAAAATAATGCAATAAACTGCCTTCACAATGTCACAGACAGGAGAGAAAGTGCACCAAAACCTTGCATTAGAAGGAAATACCGAGACATACATTATGCAGGCCATATGTTTCACTGACTAAAACAAGGCAAGATCATGTCCGAAGGCAGGCGTGTTGAGAAATACAGCGTGGGTTGAGTGTCCGCAAAGAGTGCGAGTTCAAGCTGGAATTAAAGATTGTAGCTCAGACAGGAAATCTCTGGCCGCAGAGTTATTGGTCTAGAAATGGCTGTTTGTTAAGGTTTCTGCACATTCCTCAGATGCTAAGGAGACACTTTTAAGGAATTATTAAGATTTAAGAATGGAGCCACATTGCTCTTCTCCTCCTTTCAGGTTTTTGCAGAGCCTTGTACGTACCTGTATATTTTAAATGATTGTATAGATTTTTAGCCAGATTTCAGGAGAAACACCCACTTGACTTTAATGTTAAAGATGAATTACACAGATCTTTTAGTGTAACTCTGTGGTTGAGATGTTGACCCAGTCATTCAGAGTGGTTTGGTGTGAAATGCTTCAGTGTAGAGAAATTTACTGGCTCAGATTTCTTTACAGTGGTGCTGATAGGAACCAGGGGTCACAGTGTCTACAACACAGATATAACCGTTTTATTTACGTGTATTTAGACCTACACACCTACTCAGTTTTTATATGTAATGTTGGTGGTAAAATAGTGAAGTTTTCTTCGGTGACTCTTTTGCCTTACAGCATCCTGCATGTACCTCTACAGCAAGAAATATGCTTTTCCTTGTCATAAAACAATGCCTCAGGCATCAGGCAGTGAATTCATAACCATTTCATGAATGAACTTTCTGTGAGGTAGATTTTAGAGGCCAGACGCCTGGTTCCTATCACCACCACTGTGAACAATTCTGACTCTGTGAGTTTCTCTAGAACAGAGCATTTCACACCAAACCACTCTGGATGACTTTGGTTACAACTCAACCATTAAATCCTGGAGAAACTTTGAAAACTAAGTGGAATTCCCCCTTTAAATGCCTTCAGATTAAATTAATAGCTGTGCTAAGACGTTGGTAGTCTTACACTAACTGTGGTTTTGTATTGTCAAAGCGTTCAAAACAAGCCATTCTTCAAACCGAATCGGTCGTTCTTTGATCGCAGTAAAATTGCAGCATGTTTGAGTTGGCTGTAAAATTGGCCGAGCTCTCCGACGTTTCAGAAACCGCAGCATTCCAGCGCTTTTTTGAACAGTTGATTGGCGCTATGCGAGCCAGTGGGTATTCTAAGCTAGAAGCTTGTGTGGTTTATTTCTAGACTTTTCTCTTTATATAAAGCACATAATCACAGTAGTGCAAATAAATCGCAGTTAATTCAAAGTTAAATGAATGTTTAGTTCAGGAAGTTAGCAGCAGTATCTTTTGTATGTTTAACGTCTTGCTTAATGGTGCATGTTGTTTTTTTTTGTTGTTGTTGACCCAGTGACTCATAAACAGAGATGATGTTGAGTAAAAGAGAGCTGCGAAAGTTATGACGTACAGTTTTTGACACACTGAAGAGCCTGAATGGACCCAGACACGTCCTTGTAGTTTTCAGGACCTGCAGATTAGCGGTTCGCGCTCAGCGTTGTGCATCCTTGCCCAATCTAACCAATGTGCAGACTACTGTACACTAGCATACCCATGAACAGGTAGTCTGAACACTGGGCAGACGAAGCAGGAGAGCGGCGGAGCGCTGTCAGGAAGGACACTTCTTCCTCGTCTTCCCTCCTCATCCTCCTCCTCCCTCCAGAAGAAGCGAGTAGTCCATACTTTTCAGAGAGACGGAAAGGGGAACCGTCCGCTTTTGCCTTTGCTGGTCTCCGATACAGATTGTTTGTTTGCTTGTTTGTTTGTTTGTTTTAGTTTTTTGTTGTTTTTTTTTGCTCCCGCAGAGCAGTTTTCTGTCCGTCGGCGTCCTGCGAGCGCTGTCCAGCCTTGACGTGGCACATTCGTTTCAGACGACCGCGGGGAATTTGGGGCGTGCTTTCATGGAAGAGATATTACGAAAAAAAAGAGGAAAGAGAGAAAGTCAGAGAGGGAGGGACCCTCACCTCCTTATATGGGAGAAGGACGTTTAGGGGTCCCTCCAGTGGCGCGCTGCAGGCCGTCCCGCGGCGTTTCGCAGAGTCGCACGGTTTGGGCCGTAAACTCGCCCCGCCTTGACCCTTGAGGGAAAGGGGTCAGATCTCTGTCCCTGTCGCCTCTCACCGCTTTCTGGACGCCTCGCTCTACTCTGTGTGGCCCAGTTTAGCGGAGCTGGTCTCTTGCTCGGCTCTTTAGGTCACTCCTACTCCTCCTCGTTCTCTCTCTTACTGCTGTTAAGTACTACCAGATGTTTAGAGTTAATGCCAGGCTGTCATTTAATCTCTCCCTCTCTCTCTCTCTTTCTCTCTTTGCTCTCTTCCTTTCTTCCCTTTATTTCTCTCCTTTCTCGAACTGTCTTTCTCTGTCATTCTCTGTCTCACTTTCTCAAACTGTCTCACACTCTTTCTTCTCTCTATCTCTTTGTCTGTTCTCTCTTTCTATCTGTTTCTCTTTTTTCTCTCTCTCTCCCTTCCTGCCTCTCTCCCTAACACTCCTTCTGTTCTTGCTTCCCCCGCTCTCTTTCTTCTCACTCCTTCTTTCTCCCTAATTTCTTTCCTCTCTCTTCTCTTTCCTTCACTCTCTACCTCTTTCTCCCACCCTCTCTCTCTTCTTCTTTTTTCTCTCTATTCTCTCTTTTTCCAACCTTTTCTCTCTATTCTCTCTTTCTTTTTCTTATATCTCTCTATTTTCCCTATCTCTCTCTTTCTCTTCTTTCCTTCTCTTTTTAACCCTTACTGTTTCTTCTTGCCTCTCTCTCTCTCTCTCTCTCTCTCTCTCTCTCTCTCTCTCTCACTCTCACCCCTCTGAAAGACAAACTGGAGGCAGGAAGTGGGGCCTCTGGAATGGGGGCAAAAATATTTAAGAAATAAATAAAGCGGGAGGAGGAGGAGGAGAGTATTTGGGTGAAATTTTTTTCTCTGAATCAGGTTTGAAGTTCAGACCGCGCTGACTGGGCGTGCTAACGTCTCCAGAACCTTCTTTACTTTGTGAAAAGTTCTTTTCTGAGTGCAGTGAAGTCAGACGTTCCTCGTCTCTGCTGTGTGCTGCGTTCTTATTCCCTCGTTCTCTCGGGTGCAGTAAAATCTGAAGGTCTGACCTGAGCCCACTGAGCCCCCCCCCAAATCCAGGGAGGGGAAACAATGGTGTTCCTCAACCACAGCACATTCTAATGCCTTCCATATGTGCTATTTCTTGCTCTCTCCTCTCTGTTTCTTCTCTTTTTTCTTTCATTCCTCCTTTCCCACCTTCTGCTCTGCTTCCACTACTTCTTTTTCATCTCTCTCTCTCTCTCTCTCTCCCTCTCGCCCCTTCCCCCTGTTTACATACCTCCATCAATCTTTGCTTCTCACTTTTATTTACTTTCTTTTCCTCTGTTGTGCTTATAATTGTAAGCATGGGGTAAGTTGGAATTTTAGGAGGTGGCGAAGCCCTGCTTCTTTTCTTGGGTGGCTACAATATGGAAACAGTGTTGTTCAATTAATGTGTTATTCAGTCTTAATCAAGATTAATTTCATGAAACTTCAAGATATGATTAGTACTGTGCAGTAATAGGCACATGAAAAAGCCTATTTAGCTGTTTATCTGGGCAGGATGCATTTATATGCTTAGAAACAGAACTAGAAAGAAAGAAAAGTTCATGAATAAGAAGTTCCAGGTATCCCAGGTGGTTGCTAATGTGTTTCTGTTTATCTGTGCTCGTTGCCAAGATGTTGCTAGCCCATTGCTAGCAACATGAAAATCAGTTAAATCCCAGGTTGTTGCTAAGGTGTTGCTAGGCTGTTGCTATGTTATACCAAGGGATTGCTAAGTGATTGTGTCGCATTTTCAGACCTCTCCTCGTTGGAGCCCAGTATTACTTATAGTTACCATACTTGGTCTGGCTAATCAGTTCTTCATTATAATAAATTCCACTGATGGAATTTAACAGATCCATGTGATGGCTTGAGAGTCAGAAACCAAATATGTGTTCTTCTAACCAGCTAACTAGATATCAGCTACTCTTTTTGAAAAGAAGAAATTCATAGAGTGTATTACTGCATTAATGTTTGCATTTATTCTAATGATACATGATGTTTTACTGGTGTATTACAAAAAATGCACTTTTTGCCTTTGGATAAAAAGTTTTAAACAGTGTGTTCAGGTGCCCAGGACTTGCACAGGGTAGTATCTAGGTAGATGCAAGGGTGACTTTTAAGAGCATATTGCAGCAACCAGTGGGCATATCAGTGAACACAATTATAACTCTGTTTGATTCAGTGGTGACAGTTTTATCTGGCTATGCAAAAGAGGCTACACTATTAAAACAATGCTAAAAACCAGGATATGTTGTGTTCTGGATGACCATGGTTGGTGACCAGCTAAACCACCACCAGACCTGCATAAACCAGCTTACGCAAGCAAGGAATTCAGCAGGGTAATTGCTGTGGGTGTAACGTTACAGCAGGAAAAAAAACGCAGTAGGTTCTTTGAAGGTTTAGACTTGATGGACTCATTTATGAAGCAATCCGAAACAGCAGTTTAATTTGTCCCCTGCTTTCAAGTCTGCTGGCCTGTGTGACTGGTATTTTCACAACTACATACAATCGCTATGGTATTTTACTACCTTTAGATTCAATTGATGACTTTTTCTCTAAAATCAGGCTGGAAACACATGCTTAGTGAAGTGTACGTAAGCAGTAGGCATCTGCATGATGTTCAGCACTATGTTTTGTAAGCCTATTACTGATGTCTTTGCTGGGGCACTTTGTTTTTAATCCACAGGAAAAAGAGAAGAAGTACATGCTGCCCCTGGACAACCTGAAGGTCAGGGATGTGGAGAAAAGCTTCATGTCCAGCAAGCACATGTTTGCCATCTTCAATACAGAGCAACGGTAGGCCAACGAACCATCACCAGTGAAATGGTTACTAAATGTAATCGACATTAATACTGTTAATTTATATAACTATATCTTATCTATATATCTCACGGGCAACAAAACTTTCCTGTTGAACCGTCTGATCTGCTTTTCAGGAACGTCTTCAAGGACAATCGCTTCCTGGAGCTGGCATGCAACACCCAGGAGGAGGTGGACAGCTGGAGAGCATCCCTGCTGCGTGCTGGGGTGTATCCTGAGAAATCTTCGGTCAGTAACCACTAGCAATGCATAGGATTAAGAGAGCAGCCAGGTCCCACGTTGATTGTGCAAGGCTGATCTCTTCAGTTTAACTAAAAGGCATTAAATCTAACGTTGTGCACTAACAATGCACTACAACACCTCATTGCACTATTTAGGTTCCCACTTTTGTTAATGAGGAGAGCTTATCAACTAAAAAATGGTATTATGCAGAGTCGATGCAAATACCTGCAGACACAGTGGCAGTTCTTGACATCCATGGTTCTAGTGTTTCTGCTGAAAACTATTTTTATCTCTTCTCAGTCGTTCCCTATTCTGTCACCTGCCTGAATCTCTTTTTTTTTTTCTTCAGGTGGAGAGTGAAAGCTCTGGCACTGCTGAGAACTTCTCTATGGATCCTCAGCTGGAGAGGAAGGTGGAGACCATCCGCAACCTGGTGGACTCCTACATGGCCATCGTCAGCAAGTGCATCCGGGACCTCATGCCCAAGACCATCATGCACCTTATGATCAATAACGTAAGGTCCATCTGTGCTGTGTGTGAAGCAGACATGAGAAGCTCCACTATGGGAGAGTCAGGAGAACATATTCATTGTCTAACACACCTGATTCATATACTTTGCTACTAATTTTATTCCTACTACTGCTAATCCTATTAGTTAAAGTAGCAGTTCCATTACTAGAACTACTACTACTTGTACTATTATTGTTTTTGCTGCTACTATTACTATTACTTACAGTGGTACTACTGGTATTTCTACTACTATTTATGCTTATGGGTTGCACAGACTAGTCGACTTGTTGACCTTACTGCTCTGCAATGATGCCTTAAGATTGATGTCGACTAGTCGCTTATCATGTGATTATGACAGTAACAACATGGACGCCTCGGAGAAGACAACAGGTGAAGGCTAGCAGCGTGATCCAAGGAGACACTCTACTGACCTGCGGAATTTGGCTTTGTTCTATCTTTTCTCCATCGATGTACAGTGCTTCAACGTCGTTATCTTCAGTTTTCCGAAGACTACAATAAAAAATCATCCGTCGTTGGAGAGGGAGCTTAATGCCCTATAATCCTGTGAAGTTTGAAATCAGTTGCTTTTATTTTCTCTGAGTCAGAGCGCTCTAAATTTCTCTGGATCTCTGGACCTCCATCACGGACGAGCGTCTCGGTAAAGCCGTCTAGGATGTGCCTAAGTCGAATACAAATTTGCGAGATCCTGGGGATAGCCATCCATTCTGGGGCTGGGGCACCTTCCCTGAAGGCTAGCAGTGAGATCCAGGGCTCGTTGGAAAGGCCAGGTCATGCTCTACAGACCTGCGCAGTTTGGTCTCGTCACAGATTTTTAAAGTTGGATTTTTAAAGCCGCTTGTAAAGCATTCCCTCCTCCTGTGGTTTTATGCATGATGTCATCAGAGATTAGTTGACATTGACTCGACTTTCATCATATGACTGTCAACTTCTGAAGAAAATCTGAAGTCGTGAAACCCCAATTTGTACTATTATTACTGTTACTTCTCTTACTACTAATACTACTGCTTATAGAAGTTCTACTGTTATTACTTATAAGTTACTCTTACTTTCAATACTTCTGTTATTTATTGTGATACTCCAGAATGCCTCATATTTAAGTGAACTAGAAGGCTCTCATTCACTGCTCTTGATTGGAGTACATGAGACGCTGCTGCCACTCATCTGCGCTAAAATGCGCAGTTACGGTGAAATAAGATCCAGTGGTAATGGATGTCCACGCAGCACGTTACAGCTATTCGTACCCGTTTTCTTTAGTGATTTCATAACTTCGGTTTTGGTCTCGTTGTAGAGACGGGAGCGGGGGGTCGCTGTGTCAGTGAAATATCTTCGAGACGGGGTCGTGTGCAACATAGCGCTAAAATGCCCTGTTTCTCATCGACTCCGCAGACTGCAGGTCGCATAGCAACGACCTGTTATTTGCATTTATAAGCAGCGCAGTTGGTTTCCTGGTACGTTAAATCTGCAACGAGAGACTGTCACACACTAAAAAGGTTCGAAGATGAAGTCAGTTTCTCTTTTGAATTGTCCCGTTCCACCTTAAATGGTGCCGCATTTACATTCGGCGCCTCAGTCAGAATTTAAGGTGGAACGGAAAAATTCGAATGAGAAGCGACTTCAGCCTCGGAAAACAGTTGAACAATGAGACATTTTACAATAAGCTGCTCTACTTTTGAAGAAAAGTTTCCTGAGGGTAATGGGAGGACATCGGCTAAAGCTTAAAGCAGAGTAAATCTGCGCTCTCGTTTATATTGTTTAGTCTATACTAGGACATTATCACATACTGAGACATACTGGACATTAAATGTTGTGGCTCCCAAGGTGGTTTGATTTTTTGTTGAAAGGTCAAAATGTCTCTTCTTATCATTTGGGTTGTGACTCCTGACCTAATCTGGCTTTAATGCAGAGGGAGCCGGTCGGATTTCTCACTCATCCAGTGATGTTTTTGTTATGTGCCGCCACAGACTGTCCGGGTGCTGCACGTCCGCACTTCCAGTTCCGCCTTTTGCGTTCTGTCAACATTACGCTATAAATTAAATATTTAGAAAATCGATTTTTGACATTGAATGAATCGATTCAGAATCGTTCACGTCCGCATCGCGATGCATCTAAGAATCGATTTTTTCCCGCACCCCTATATATATATATATATATATATTAGTAGTAAATATTACTACTTATAATGCTACTGTTGCTGTTAGATTTACTGATGTTACTATATGTAGTTACTACTACATATACTATGATTACTTTTAATATAGGTACTACTACTATACTAGTACCATTATTACTAGTACCAATATCACTATTAGTTCTGCTACTACTACTTTTACTTATATTAGTACTACAGTTGCTACAAGTACTTACACTTGCACCACTGTTACTGCAATTATTACTAGCATTAATACTAATACTACTACTAATACTACTGTTATTTGTAGGGGTGCTACTATTCTTATTACTGTTACTTATACAAGTACTACTATTGCTGCTACTACTAATTCTCCAATTTATTGTACTGCCCTTACTATTACTTTTATTATTGCTACTACTGGTACTAGTAATATTATTACTGATACTGCTTAGATTATTACTGTTACTACTACTAAGATGATATGCATAATATCATTAGTATATCATTAGTATATCATTAATATCATTAGTATAGCATATACATAACACTTTTCATTATGATTAATCTCAGTATTAGTGGTGTAAGGGAGAGGAGTTACAGGCCCCTGCAATCAAACTGAAGATCCATTAAATTGCTTTTGGTCTCTTTGAACTCTGAGGTTTTCAAACTTGGAGGATTCAGCCCCTGAATAAGAGGGCTAATGATCGACGAGAACCTCCGGGAAAGTAAAGAAAGTAAAAGTCTGCTGTCTCTTCCTCAGGTAAAAGAATTCATTAATGCGGAGCTGCTGGCTCAACTGTACTCGGCTGGGGACCAGAACGCTCTGATGGACGAGTCCCAGGAGCAGGTGCAGCGCAGGGAGGAGGTGTTGCGTACCCACCACGCCCTGAAGGAGGCTCTGGCCATCATCGGGGACATCTCCACCACTACCGTGTCCACTCCTCTGCCCCCACCGGTGGACAGCTCCTGGCTGCAGGCCGGCCCAGGGGGCTCCCGCAGGTGACCACGCTGAGCTCCCATTTACACGTTTTTAATTATATGAAACCAAATTGGTTTCAAATAAATGTATAAGTGTATGAATTCAATATAAACCTCAAAGATTTTAGATAATTGGTAAGAAGCTATAGAAACATTAAGAAATGTTATGTGTCCAGAATGATGATCGCTGAAAGGTTTTGTAGCATCAAGAATTAAGTTAAAATTGACCCCCCAAGTGCCTCATATTTAAAAAGTGATGGTCAAGTCTTGAGGTAGATAAATTGCTTGAAATATTAAATGAAACATCTAAAAATACTTTTTGAGGCTTGCTTTATAAGATTTAAATCTGCATTGTAAAAGTTATTATAAATGAAATAACATAAATTACTAATATAACAAGTGATTCACGATCAAGCATAAACATGTTCTAGACTTACTTTCTTAAGGTGATAGTTTACACAGTTTACAACAAATGTAGTCAGTCATTCAAATATGTTTTATGTCTGAAGGTTCTTTAGTTTTGCACTGGAGCAGTGAGACTAATGTAGCTTACAAGTAATGGAAGCTTATACTCATGGCATTGTGCAAACTGGCTGCCTTACAATTTGATAATTTTACACAGGTAGGCGAAGGTAGTGTTAGGGATCTTGCCCATAGACTCTTATTGGTATAGTGCAGGGTGTTTACCCAGGTGGGGACTGAACCCCAGTCTACAGTGTAGAAGGCAGAGGTGCTACCCACTACACTATATCAACCAAAACTTTCTGAAACTTATGTATAAATGTGGATTAAAGTAAGCTTCCTTACATGAAAACTGCATTGGCCTTTTTGTTACTATGTAAGACTAAAGAAGTAAATCTCAGACACCAAACATTTCTTTGCTGATTAACAAAATGTTTGGTAAGGTAAATTGTGTAGATTTTAATTTTTTGCCCAAGTATCCGTTTGAGGGTGGTTCATTGTTCAGAATGCTTTATGACCTTTATTACCTATAATGCTTTATCTTTGTCTGTAAAACTATATTTACATCATTAAAGCTTGTCTCTTCTGCTCTGCAGGTCTCCTCCACCCAGCCCCACTGCACCACGCAGAATGTCTGCGGGTCAGAGGCCAGCGGGCCGGGGGGCTCCTCCACCTCCATCCCGCCCAGGCCCTCTGGGACCGTTCAACAACAGCGGAGACAGCCCCCAGGTGCCCAACCGCCCAAACCGGGCTCCACCCAGCATTCCAAGGTGAGTTCTTACCTCTGTCACAGGTATGTAATGGTGGATACAGGGCTTTTCCACATAACAGTGCAGTGTAACATCATTGAGAGATGGTTGAAGGAGTGTTATCTTAAAACTCTCTGATGCTTAAATGGATGGTATAAACAGTGCTAATGAGGCTTAAGGCCCAGACACACCAAGCCAACAAGGAAGAACTAGCACCAACTTAAGCTGATGATCAGCTTCCATCACCTCACCTTCTGCCTCTCGTCTCCTGTGAACATTTGCGTATAGTTAATGCACCTGCATAGCAGAAGCTGCAGTTGTCTGTAAAACTGTCAGTTTGCCACATATTAAGTAAAGAACGTATTGTTTGCATGTCTTGCAAGATTCAACAGTGTGTGTTTAAGTTAAACTCATTGAGTGAAAGTGAAAGTAAACCACCCTTAGCAGCACTGGGTGGGTAAAAAGTCTCCTTAAAAGTGATTGTTCATTAAACAGTTAAATAAAATGCATACTAGGCACATGTTCATAATAATATGACAAATAGTTTCAAACTCCACAAAATCATTGCATATCTCATACACTTTGTTTTATGTTCGTGGGTTGTCAGAGCACCTTTAGAGCTTTTGTGTGTTAAAAATTTTGACATTCAAATAGTGAAAATACTTAAAATTTCCATTGTTAGTGATAAAACAGTGAGACTAATAAGACTATTCTTTGGCCCAATTCCATTTCTTATTTTTACCCCTACCTCTTGTTTTCGAGCATCACTTTGCCCCTTGGAACTGACTTACAAGGGGTAGGGGTTGAAATCTTCCCTACGAAATGGGAACCTCAAGTAAAAAAGAATATTACTTCATTAACAGGCTACTAGCACTGCTCTGTAGGCGACCCTGCCAGTCTGCAGTGATAGCAGAGGAGGATAAAGTTCGGCAACCTCACTGCTGGGCTTTAGTCACATTTAGTGCATCATATGCCTGCAAAGAGGAGGGATGCAACAGATAATACTGTGGTTATTGCAAATTTTTAACTGAGAAAATGCTAATATTTGTGGGTTTCTTTGGTCTCTTGTGCAGCCATCTTGCCGTTTTCTCTTTTTTTTTCCTAACTCTTTGTTTGAAGTCTGAAAAACGTCCGTTTGGAGGGCCATATAACCCTAACACTTCGCCCTACCCCTCCATCTCAACAACAATTGGGACACTCTACCCCTAGACGTGAAAGTGCAAAATGGAGGGGTAAGGCTAAGTGGTAGGGGTCAAATAGGATTGGGCCTGAGAGTGCCATTTGCTTGCTTTGCTCTCTTTCATTTCATTTCTGATCTGTAGCGCTGTCACAGCTGATCACCAAGGCAGATTCAGCATGCTCATACAGCCCAAACTGTCGGAACACACAGTCAGCCAGTGACTCCCTGACAGCCGACAGTTGGCTTGGTGTGTCAGGGCTATAACTGTGAACAAAAGCCCAGCAAGTTAGTTGGGACATTCTTTGGCGTGTCTGTCAGCCACATTAGCACAATCCCACTGCAGCAGAATTGCTGTGACTGGTGTTTCAGAATGTAGCTCATTTGTGGTCCGAGGCAGCACAAGATGAGCCGAGATGATGTAAGTATTGAAGAAGAAGCAGGAATATGCCAAGGATGACACGAGCCAGTAGACATGTTAAATAACCGAGCAGCTCACTCTGACAATGCTGAGATTCAAAATCAGCCAGAAATGGATTTTAGCCGGTTCATTTCAGCAGAACCTGGACCACTGAAGCTTTAGATGGTCTTTGAAATGTAGGACTGGGTATTGAAATTCAATGTTTTTATTGTACTGACCAAATTACTTGAATACTACCGAGAATTGAAAAAGTCTGTGCCATTACAAGCCAAATTTCAGTGCCTAAAAAGTCAGTTTTGGCATCTGTAAGCCAGTGGTTGGTATATTGTATAGTGTGGGTAACACCTTTTGCCTTCTACACTGTAGACTGGGGTTTAATCCCCACCTGGGTAAACACCCTTCCCCTACCTGTGTAAAATGATCAAATTGTAAGTAACTCTGGATAAGATCATCTGCCAAATGCCATGAATGTAAATGTAAACATGCTTTACAATATCTAGACTGCTGATTGGCTGTCTAAATTACATTCTCTATGCATGCTATTAGCATCAGTGCTTCTGGATTATTCTCCAGTGAGTTAGTCCATCACAGTGAGTAAACACACCCAGCAACTTTTGATGTAAGTCACACCTAGTTTTGCTTTGTACTTTAAAATAAGGCATCAGAAAAAGTATCGTCCAGGAATTTGTCAAGATTTTTGTGTCAAAATCGAAAAATTGATGCCCAGCCCTGTTGACTACTTAAATGTTTAAAGATGGTTTTTAAATTTTGTAAAATGAGTAGCAATTTAAGAATAATATGATGCTCAGTTTTACTACACTGATATTTATAACTCACTCTGAGCAGCTCTTGCAGAGGAAAGCTGAGTTGGCAGTAGTGTTCCTTGTGTGTGTGAGTGTGTTTGGCTCAGCTTTGCTTTGGAAAGCTCTCTGTGAGTGAAGCTGAGCTGCCTAAATGAAGCCTGAGTCCTGAGCAGAACAGAGCTGCTTAGTAATTTAACACTCTCAGTAAGTGGCTGAATTCAGATAACACACTTAATCTTCCTTTCAGCAGAAACAAATCTCATCAACAGTCTTTTCCAGAGCCAAATTCGGTTAAGGTAAAAGGAAGACAACTTGGCTCAGAATATTACTAGAGATAAACATTTATCAGAAGTCTAATATCATCATATGGTCTTCAAAGACAATGTGTTGTTAAAATGACTGTAGGAAGGCCTGTTGTACATTTGCAAGCAGACTCAGAGTGTAAACTCTAGATTGCATTCTTACCTCATTTTGAGACATTGGATTAATGTTATAATGGTAGACAACACACACACACACACACACACCAAAATAAACATAAAATAAAGTCTTACTGTTGTCGTACTGATCTCTCATTTCATCTGCGCTCTTCAAGCCTAATTCTCTTCCAGGCTGGTTCACTACAGCTCTGTTTGTATCTTACAGCCATTGCCTGGTTTATGAAGGTGAAATATGAAGTCATTAATAACCACTTCTGAGTTCCTGAATGCTCAGGTGGACCCAAAAGAAGAGTGAAACATAAACAGGAGCAGGCTTCAGTTATTTTCTTCATGAGAATTTCTAGGAGTGCCAATAATTGGGACACATACTTTTGTTTAAAAAAGTCTTGATTTGTTTTCTTAGATAAAAATTATTTCCATTAAAGGTTCGATTTTTCATATTTTTAGTGTAATATTGATATAATTGACCACAGACAGTTTTTTTTACCTTTTTACTCATCTTTACCACAATATTTCATTATTTAGCATATCTCTTTTTGCAGTAGAATGAGGTAATATATGAAGTTACATCAAATTGTGGGGCCTGTAGTGATTCATACCCGTAAAATGTGTAATACTGCGATTATTCTGGAAAATTCAGCGCTCACTGTTTGAGTCTGCACTTATTGAAGTCATCATTTCCTGTGCTTACAAAGGCCAGGTGTGGTTCTGCACTAATCTATTCACACAGATGTGTGCATTAACTTTGAAATTAATCTGCCTCACAGCTTTTCTTCTTCAGCTAACTGCTTTTCAGCTTACACTTACTAATCTCTCTCTCTCTCTCTCCCTCTCTCTCTCTCTCTCTCTCTCTCTCTCTCTCTCTCTCTCTCTCCCCTGTCTTTCTGCTTCTTCTGACTTTCTTTCCTCTTCCCCGTCGCCTCCCTCCTTCTCTTACATGTGTGTCTCAGCCGCCGGCCCCCTCCCTCCCCCACCAGGCAGGTCCCCCCTTAAGTGGCCTGGCGGGTCTTCCTTCTCTCTTCTCCTGGACCCTAACTCTATCTCCAGCCAGCGCTCAGCGTCTCCTAGCGACCCTTCAGCTCCCGCATGGCCCCAGTCTTAGCTTCTCTGCCCCCGAATCATTCCTAAACGTCCTCATCCCCCGACCCGCCAAGCGCGTCCCCTTCTGCTAGTGCTAGTGTCCGTGTTAGCCGTTAGCTGTGCTCGTTGTGGTGCCGTGTGTGTGTCTCTGTGCCTCCTGCAGCACTCGGGCCGAGTCGTCCTGCCGCACAGGCTCCTCCCCTTCCTCCTCCTGTCAATGTGAAAACCCTTCGGTAAGAGCGCCGGACCTGCTGAACAGAGCAGAGCAGCGCTGACCCTCCGCTGCGTCCACTGCATGTTTAGTTTGAGTGAGTGTGAGTGAGTGTGCACTGAAGCTCCTTAGTAGTTCAGGGGTTTCCAGCCTTTTAATGGCACAGACTGAACTACAGCCCACAAAGGTTTCAACAGACTGGTAGGGGACCCAGGGGAGTGGCAGGGTGCCACGAGGCCCATGACTGTCCTGTTTTTCTCCAGATACTGAAGAAATTGAATGGCTTCATAACCTCATTCGGTAGCTTCTCTCTGCATACCACACGCAATTGATTTGGCACATTAGCATCCTCAGTCATAATGAATATTTATTTTGGGCTTTGCACCCCCAGTCAGTTACAGTAGCGGTCAACTGAAAGTAGCAAGTAGCAACATACATGCATGAACAAGGCCATACAAAGATGAGATGTTTTTTACATAATTTAAAATGCCTGTTTGGTTTTACATTATGTGCAAATTTCATGAAGGATCGACCAAAAGAAATGGCCCGAAATTACGTGAAAACAGGCTGGTTCCATTGACTTCCATTAAAAGTATAGTATGTTTTTCCATCTTTAAAAGTGCATCTGTAAAAGTATCATTTTGGAGATACAAGGTTTTGTTCGTAAAGCTTATGGTGATGGGAAGGAAGGGAGGCAGGAAGGAAGGAAAGAAGGCAGGAAGGAAGGAAGGAAAGAAGGATGATGCTTGCTAAGATGTTGCTAGGCCATTGCTACGGAATCCCAGGTGGTTGCTAAGATGTTGCATAGGCCATTGCTACGGTATCCCAGTTGGTTGCTAAGATGTTGCTAGGCCATTGCTACGGTATCCCAGGTGGTTGCTAAGGTGTTGCTAGGTCATTGCTATGTGGTCCGAGGTGGTTGCTAATATATGTGTATACATGAATATGTGCTAGTGTGTATGTATTGTCTATGAGGGGCAGTATGACAGATGTCCATTGTGACATTGTTTGTGGCAGTTAGATTTGAATTTTCTTAACCTTCTGCCGTTCATTTTCCATGGGAAAAAGAAAACTACAGGGAAAAGCAACCAAAAAGAGAAACATGTAGAATAATTAAACAGAACTGTTTTATAAGAAGGGTAAGTTGGCTTCGTCAAGCCAGCTTAATGATAAAATAGGAGGTTCAGCAGTTGGGCTGGTAACTCTCCCTGCTCACAGCCGGCCCGGTGCCAAACAATTCACGGCCCGATGGTTGGGAACCCCTGTTCTAGTGTGTGTTTTGTGTGTGTGGGTGTTTGCATTGCTTTATCTCTTGAATTAATATTGAGTAAAAGTGTGTGGGTGTGTGTGTGTGCGTATGTGTGCGTGTGTGCCCTGTATGTTAACTCGTGTTGTGCACTTTTCGTTTGTTGGCATGTTTGTTTTGCCAGTGTGTTTGTTTGGTGTTTTTATTTTTGTTTTGATGATTGCTCATCCCGCTGCTGTTGAACCCTGAGCTCACTACTAGCCATCGTGACTGTATCTGTGTGCCTGTGTGTGTATGTGTGTGTTGTAGCGGAGAGAATCCTGAGATGTTGTTACAGCCTAGACATAGACCCCCCCCCCACCATGCTCCTGAACACACCACCCCCACCACGTACCATCTGTATAGCTCCACTCGATATGAACAACAACATGCAGATCTACAGCATCCTGTGTGCTCTACAGTAACTGTGCAACCGTGGCATGTATGAGCCATATATGTGTACTTACTTAAAGATCAAGAATAACCACCACTTTAAATAGTTCCTTCGTCGGGATTGGACTTCCGTAGATGGATTTACAGGAAGCGAAAGAATGTCTTTTAAGTTTTGACACCCTTTAACCAAACCGTTTTAGTATCGTTAATGGAATTTTTGCCTTTCGTCCCATTCTGCACCATTCCCTCTGTCCGGAATCAGCTTTCTCTTCCACGATATGATGTATGATGTATCCCCACACAAAAAAAAAAAGATCCAACAATTTGTGTACTAGAAGTATAATTAGATTTGTACCAGTTAAAGTGGGCAGTTGATGTGTTGTATCTGTGGGTCTCTGTCCATATTAGTGCGCTGCTAAAGCCCAGCATTTGATTTATTTTATTTATTGATTTATTTTTTTGTTTGTACACGATGGTACTTGAAAATCTTGTCTTTTTGTTCTTATCGTCTCTTACTGTATCTCAGAATTCTGACTCATAAGAATTATAATGGCATGAATAAGTCTGTATTGCCAAAGCTAGTAATAGAAACAATCTATATAATATGCAACAGAACGTAACAGTGTTACTTACACCTACACACACATGCATACATATAGATATATATAAATATATAAAGGAATAATATTGTTCACTGGAGGAAATCAAGACATTTGCCTCCCTTTTGTAAATGTGTTTCTTTTGAGGGAGCTGTATTAGTGACTATATTCTTTATGTAATTCAATAAACCTGTGCTCAAGACCGTTAACGCTCTGCTTTCTGTTTTCATTATGGGAGAAGCTCCTGTTTCCAGTTCTTTGGGTTGGTAGTGGAGGGTGAATGTGCCGTATTTCAGTCTTGTTCCTTTGAAATAGGAAATTCAGAAAGCTGCAGTCTGGTTCATTTGAATAAGTGTAGTGGTGTTGAACATGGATCGCTCCACGCCAACTCATCTAGGACCTGGTAGCTCACATCATGGAAAAAAATTAACGCAAAAACTTTGAACTATGAATTTTTAACAGTTTGTCTTTTCAAGTTGTAAATTTCATCTTAAATACTGAGCTGCTTACAGAACTGAGCAGAAACAACACATTCAAAATCTCAGCATCAGCCGCTATAATTCTAACAACACGTTCATTTATTGGGATATTTTTTCTGTATAATTTTCCACTTTTTCTCACAAAACTTGGAATTAATTTCTCCATGTAATATTCGAAGCTACCATTAAAATTTCAGATAATAATTTCAGACACTTGTATGACCCTGTATTTCAGGGCTAATTTGTATGTCCCTGTATTTCAGGACTGATTCTATTTTTCTAATAAATTCTGATTTGTCTAATAATTCTAACCTCTTTCACAGTAAGAACACTTATGTCTTATTAATATATAAAAAAATACATGCAGTGCTATGTGGTATGACTCCTTCATGGTTTAGTAATTTCAATGTTTTAAAAATCATTTTGGTCGTAAAATATTTGACTAACAAGCACAATGTAAAGAAATATCAAAAATTCGATTATAAAAAATAACCTAAAAAATGTTATCAATGTTCTGAGAGATATATAATTACTCTCCTAAGAAAACCATCTTTATACATTAAATAAATTTATCAAATAAATAATGTATTTATTTATACAGAATTTGAAAATGCCCATTTCTCTTTAGCATGTTAAAATTTCATGAGAAATTTCACTAGAAATGGACCAAATTTCATGAAAAAAAATCTTGTTCTATTAACTTCCATTCAAAGTGGAGTTTTTCCTTCTTCTGTAAGGCTACCGTTTTGGAGATACGAGGTTTTGTCGTGATAGCGGTGATATTACTCTATTTCCTCCTAGATCTGTAATGTTGAGAATGTCTTGTAGAAGGACCCAGTGAGGATCCTATCTTGCTATAATGGCATCAAAATAAATGTACTGGGCAGTGAGGACGCATAAAATTTACAATAGACCTGATGTTTTTGGATCCTCGCCACTTTTTCCCAGCATTCCAGCAGGTAATGATTTCCCCAGGATAGACTACTCCAAGATATCGTCTGAATTCTGCTGGACAGCAGGAGGCGTCATCTCTTAATGATTTTTAACTTTAATGCTCTTTCCTGCAGCTCAAATGGAGGAAAATCACATTGATGGGCAGCAAAACGGGATTTGTTATCAAGAATTCCTAAGGGAGCCAGTAATTATGGCCCATGTGTTACTGAAAGAGACTCTTTCTCACATTTTATCAGAGATTGGCATAAGAAGAGGAAGAAGGTCTGTTGTATTTTTATTAAGTAATAATAAGCATTACTTATTATTTTACTTCATATTCATTAAAAGAATCTTTCTGGGTGCCAATATGTTGGTCACCTGTGTTTTCAGTGTTTTTAGAAGAAATTGTATTACTCAGCAAAGAGAAAGTGTGGATGTACATTGGAATTACAGTATTATGTAGTCATTTACTTGGGACTGTATAATTTATATATATATATATATATATATATGTCCAATGAAAAACAAAATATTAACTTTACAGGAGAAGGCAAAAACACTCTTACCTTTCAGTGTAAGTCAATGTAAAGAGATATTGTTTCAGGTGATTTTAGAGCATTTCTGTTGGTCCATTCATCATGAAATTTTTACACAATGTAAAGGACAGCGGTGTGTTGAAATGATGTAGAGAACTAAAAATCAACAAAAATGGAGATGCATGGTTTTATATATATATATATATATATACCATGCATCTCCATTTTTGTTGATTTTTAGTTCTCTCTCTCTCTCTCTCTCTCTCTCTCTCTCTATATATATATATATATATATATATATATATCATTTGTGCATTGTCTTTGCTTTGAGGTGTTGCTTTATAAAATACCCTTGACTATTAAATAAGCATCCAGCAGATCATTTCAGATTTTAATAAGCTCTTGAGTTGCTATTTGAATAAACATTCAATAAATCACTTGGGGTTCCTGCCAGCCCTCAGGCTGAGGGGTCAGTGCCTGCTTCTGTTTCTACACAGAGCTCAGAGTGAGTCAGAGGCAGGTTCAGCTGAAGACCCCAGATTGGCTGGCAGACCAGACAGAATATAGAGAAGGAAAGACTAGATGTACAGCTATGTGCAAAAGTTTGCACACTGATCAAATGACCTGTTTTGTTGATTATCTAAGTAAAAATATGTTAACGCTTCCTCTACAGAGAACAGAACACTCCTAAATTTTGTGTACAATTTTAACATATTAGAAAAAAAACTTTTGCACAGACCTTAAATCAAAATCAACAGAACATGTCATTTTAGCAGGGGCACCCAAACTTTTACATACATCTGTACTATATGTAGAGATTTTACTCATCTCATTAATAGTTATGTTTTGTTTATACAGTGCCTTTCCAAAGCTCAGGGTCGCTTTACCGAGCATCAAAACAGACCAGCAAAGCAGCCAACTATGAAACACAAGAACATCGTAAAGAAAACAAAACCAGAGGGAGGATATAAAGGAAGGTAAACAACACAAGAAGTACAGTAATAACAAAAATAACAGCAAAAAAGACACAGAAAAAGTTTATTTTTTTCACAGGAGATTATAAGGAAAAGCAAATTAAAGACAGTAAGAGGCAAAAACAACACAAACCAAAGGAATGAAATAAACAGGACAGAAGTGGGAGTACAAGTACAACATGCAACAAGGCTGAGGCGTTCAGGAAGAAGAGCCGCACTGAGAGAAGAGGTAAGTTATCAAGCCAGTTTTAAAGGAGGAAATGGATGAGCTGTAACTAATGTGATGGGACAGTGAGTTCTGTAGCACTAAAGAACCTGCCAGCCCAAGATGATGTTACCTCGTCTAGAACCCCTTAAATGGACAGGGCCCACCGGCAGGCCTAAAGTTTTATCACACACTTCTATAACCTAAGAATAGCTCAGCCAGTTTGCATTGAGGTCCCTTGTAGTTACTGAATAATAAGTTTTAATATGTAATAATCCTGGGATTTTAAGGGTGTTAAACTGCAAGGTCTGACTGTTAGTTTCAAGTTTTTTGTCATTTGCACAACATGTCAGGACATTCATGCTTTGAAATGCTTGTGGTGAGGCTCAGCTAATCACTCTACAGCAGGGCGGCATCATATACATACTAAAAACAGTGCAGACAAAAAAGTAAAAAGACTGGGCTACACTCCCATAAGTACATATCAGTTTCATTGACTTACATACTAGTTTCATGGTAGCTACTGAATAATTGACAGTAGTTAGTGAATAACAAGTCCTAAGACTTAACTACATAATCAGCCTGTAGATTAAGGTTAATATTCAATAAATATATGAATTATTCTGTAACTACTTTAAGACGTATATCATCACTGCTGTAACAAAACCTTGTGTCCTCATACACTCTGAGAAATAAAGGTATGAAACTCTCACTGGGTGCAGTTCCCCTTTTGTCACTGGGGTGGGACCCTCAAGGGTGCACCTCAGTACCTTTAGTCAGGGAACATAATTGTAACATACAACAGCTGATTAGTTGAGAAGCGTTCTAACCGTGCTGTTATTTTGCCACAACAGCACGTTTTTTCACCAACACTGTCACTCTGCTGAGACGCCGCTGCCAAGCAACGACTTTGAGCTGCAGCCGATTTGGTCAGACTCTGAAGATGAGACGACACTAAATTCCCAAACTGTCATCACCACTGAGCAGCTTTTCAGTCGGCAGCTGTGACAGAAGAACAGCTGAACAACCTGGAATCAGCCAGAAATGAACCCAACGCCATTCGCCAAACAAATGGGCTGTAAGATGCTTTACAGACTGGCTGGAACAAAACAACATCAATACTGATCTGGCAAAAACTGACAAAACTGAGCTAAACTTGATATTGCAGCAGTTTTATGGCTCAGTCCGATTTGGTCAGACTCTGAAGATCAGACTACACGTTTGGCGAATGGTATTCTGTTCATTTCTGGCTAACTCAGACAGATAGATCCATATATTGTGCCTATATGTCCAATATTTGATACATATATGTACGTACATTTTGAAATATATGACTTACCCTTTATGATACATGTGTACATAAGGCCATACACTTTTATATAAGATGGCTCAGTAAAGACAAAGGTTCTGTGTGGAACTATGAACACTCAAAGAACCAGTTGGATGCTTAAAGCATTCTTTGCATGGTGAAGTGGTAGTTCAGATTGATGGACAATGTACTGTGTATTGTTCTATATAGAACCTTCTTGAAAGGGTTCTATATAAGCTTGACTTCGTAACAGTAGCAAAACCCTTTTTGGTGCTATATAGAACCATTTTCAAAAAGGTTCTGTCTAGAACCATATACAACACATTCTTCATGATTCTGAAGAACAATTTCACCATGCAAAGAACCATTTAAGCATGCAAAGGGTTCTTTGAGTGCTCATGGCTCTATTCAGACCCACTGTCTTTACTACAGAACCCTTGAAGAACCATCTGTATGATTGATTGAGAATGTAGACTCACATACAGGCCGTCACAGTTTACTTGTTAATTTATTCGTTTTTTTAAACGCAGTAGTTCCACGTAGGCCTGTTTTGTAGCCTCAACTCAACTGACCCCCCAACTTTTATTTTGTCTTGCTTGTGTTTACGGTCAGTGTTGTTGTAAGGAGTCAGGTGCGCCAACGTTCTGACCGCGTCACGGCTTTTCTGCGATCTCATTGGCTGAGCGAGTCGCTCGGCTGGGGCTGCGCGGCGCTTTCACTTGTCACTTGTCCACGTAACCAGCCAAACCTCGCTCCTCTGACAAACTTACCTGGAGATACAGAGACCCGGAGAGGAGGAAAACACACAGAATACCAGCAGCTTAGCTTAAAAACTGTCAGGGCGCCGCTTTTTGGGCTGTAGCTTACCTGTCGAGATTCATATTTCCGGATAAACGAAACAGCAGCAGCAATGTTGTTGCTTTCCGCTTTTGGTCGATAATGAAGAGGCTCGAGTTTACACTGCTTTGTCTCAGCGTAATATTGCTGTGTTACTGGTGAGTACATCTACCTGTAGTTCAGTTATTATGAGATTATTATCTTCACAGTTTCAACTGTTTGTTCGAATTTTTCCGTTCCACCTTAAATGGTGCAGCAGTTGTTCTAGTGCTTGAGGCGCCAGAATGGAAACTACTGTACCATTTAAGGTGGAACGGGAAAATTCATACAAGAAGCTGGCAAACACCTGCTAGCATTGGCTAATGGCAGTGACAGCCTGTAAGACAGACTGTTTAGCAGCTCACTGTGTGTTTTGACTGCTTTCTTTTTTTTTAAAAAAAGGCTTAATATTATTATTATTACTATTATTGAACGTATTTCAGTTACGTTACATCAGGTTTGCTCCCTCTTGTAGGTTCTAGCTGGTTAGCTAAGCTAAGCTAACTGACTCTCTTTTGGATAGTTTATTCATTTGAGCTGCTGGGCGGACCTGAAATGTGTCTAAATACTCTTTAGCATCCCTGATATTAATAAATAAGGCGTGTTTATTATATATATTTAATATATTAGCTAGGCCAGCTCTATAACGTCAACTACCCGGCTAGGTTAGCTAGCCTGACCGGCTAAGCCAAGCTAACAAGCAGTCTAGTGTAAACAAACGTTAGTAATGTGATGCTGCAGAAGACAGAAGCAGCACCTTTTGGAACCAGCGTGCTAGATAACTGGTCAGTTGGTAGTTGCCGTGCTAGATTTTCTATTTGCCCAGGTTCCTTCAGACTGCTGTGGGCTTTGACGCAGTTGGAGAGGAGGTTGGTTGACTTCAACAGGTGGCTCCACAGTGCAGCTGTCAATGAGAAGCAGAACCGTGACAGAACAGAAGTAGCTACACTGTTAAATAGATGGTTCTCTAAAGGTTCTTTGGTTAAAAGATTGGTTGATGAGTTCTATATAGAACCGTCTTATACTTAAATGGCTCTATGTATGGTGAAATGGTTCTTCAGGTTGTATGTAGCACCTTTTTTGAAAATGGTTCCATATCACACCAAAAAGGTTCTTCTATTATGATGATATCAGGCTTGTAACAACAGAAAAACCCTTTTTCGTGCTACAACACATTCTCCATCCATCTGAAGGCCTATTTCACCATGCAAAGAACCATTTAAAATGAAATGGTTCCTTAGATTACTCATGATTCCAAATTGAAGCATTCCCTTTGCTAAGGAACTCTTGAAGAACCCTCTTTTAGGTGTATATCTACATATAGATGTGTAGCTTGTCCTGCATTACTGTCAGTGTGTCATTGACCGGTCTATATCTCTCATGATTAGAGCCACACTGATAGTAATGCAACTTAATACTAATGCAATCATTCTTCATTATTAAGTGTCAGAATGAGCTCTTGGCTCTATAATTGGTGGAGTGCAGAGTCACACCCAGACAAAGTGCAGCAGAGGCGAAACCATATCTAATCTATGCTTACTCATGCGTTGCTAGTCAGAAGTGCCATAACTGCCAACCCAAAGCACATTTCTATGGCCCAGTATAGAGTCATTCCTCTCCCGGCCGTTTCCCATCTCACGAGATGCCTTACTCTACTTACTGTCTGACTAAATTTAGTAGCTTCCTACACTCAGCAGGTAGAGTATTAGATTTACAGTGGTATGTTTGTCTGAAGGGGAATTCCTGTCCATTAGAGCCATTGCTCATAACACACACTGGGTTTCAAATAACTGGCCTGTAACATATTGGAAATAACCTTCTAGGCTAATAGGCTGTGGCGCGTAGTCATTGAAGCCTAATGGAAAATATCTGCCGAACATAGTGTTCAGTCTCCGGGCTACACTGCTTAAGGCCAAAGAAATCTGTACGTCCAGTGTTTCCTCGGAAATCGAAGGTTTTCATTGGGAGATTGTCTCACGTCGCTCCAGTAACAGCCTCTACTGTTCTGGGAAGGCTTTACACTAGATGTTAGGACATTGCTGTGAGGATCTGATTGCATTCGGTCATTAGTGCGTTAGAGCATTAGTGAGGTCAGGTGTTGATGTTGGATGATCAGATCAGTTCCAGCTCATCTCAAAGGTATTGGATGGAGCTCTATTACTCCAGAGAACACAGCTCCACTGCTCCACAGCCCAGTGCTGGGGGGCTTTATACCCTCTGTGGGGATTGTACAAGCTGTGTGTGCACCATTGAACACTGGTGTCAACAGTGGGTGCACCTTAAAGTAGCTGAATTCACAAATAGACGAGGTGTCTGGATACTTAAGGACTTGTAGTGTGTTTTGCTGATTTCAACTTGTTAATTCTCCCAGGTATTAATTTCTGCCGGTGTTGCGTAGTTCAGGTTGTAGGCCAACATGACAAAGGTTAACTAACAGCTCACACGTGTTTTGGTGACGCCACATTTGTGTTGCAGTCTGGTCAAAAGGTGGACTTCATCCGAGGTTGCGTCACAGAGTCAAGACAATCCTTCCAGAAAAGCAGCTGATGTTTGGAGGGGGTGGCTGCTTTGGAAGGAATGTCTCGCTGTGTGCAGCTCGCCTATTTGAAGCAGCCTGAGCTTAGACTGTTTAGCATAGACAGTTTGTGCCATTGAGAGGGTGATTTGTCCCTGAACAGCTGTGACACAGACTTGTTTTAGTTACTGCCTCTCCAGGCTCCAGCGTTTTACCTTTTCAGTGGTGGCTTTAAGTAAACAATATAGCTTTGAATATGGCTGAAATGTACTGAAAGAGTGTCAGGCCCAATCCTATTTATTATTTTTAACCCCACCCCTTGTTTTTCGAGTGTCACCTTGCCCCTTGGAACTGACTTACAAGGGGCAGTGGTTGAAATCTTCCTCTGCAAAATGGGACCCTCAAATAAAAAGAACATTACTTCATTAACAGCTACCAGCGCTGCTCTGTAGGCGACCCCGGCCAGTCTGCAGTGACAGCAGAGGATGGTAAAGTGCAGCAACCTCACTGCTGGGCTTTAGTTACATTTAGGGCATCATATGCCTTCAAAGATTTGGATATGTGACAGCTATTTATTATCACCCATCCTTAATTCCTCAGTGATTTGAAGCTGAAGTCAGCAGTTCTGACTCCTAAGATGCCAGAATGTAACTGCTGCACCATTTAAGGTGGAAAGGAAATTTACCTGGCGAGCTACCGAGATATTAAGAAGACAAAGGCCATAATACATTGAAATTACATTAAACTAAGATAATACAGTGGTTATATAAACCACTTATATATATCAGTTATATAAAATACTCACAGTTGTGGGTTTCTTTGGTCACTTGTGCAGCAATCTTGCACACCCCGTTTGGAGTGAGCCTCTAAAAAATGTCCATTTGGGGGCCCATGTAGCCCCAGCGCTTCGCCCTACCCCTCTATCTCAACAAAAATCGGGACGCCCTACTCCTAGGTGTGATTGGGTAGGGCTAAATGGAAGGGGCAAGGGGTGAAAAGGGACTGGGCCTCAGTGATTGCTTGGGTTACAAGCAGTTGCAAGGATTGCAAGTCCTTGTCTTCCAAGTCAACTTTGAAAAAGCAGTTTGAGGAGTTTTCTTTGGGCCATGCAAGAATTCAGGCCGAGATCATAAGCTTGGTGCTTAACGCAAACCCCACAGCACATTACAGAGACTAGTAATCCTTTACGTTTTACCGTACTTTTTACCTGTACTGTATTAGTGCTTTTATTTTATCCTGTGCTTAAATTTAATGTTAAGGTTGACTTTATATCTGTGTTCAAACTTTTAAGAGACGCTGCCGTTAAAAGGAACATGCTTATTCACATCTTACAGTGGTGTCACAGGAAAAAAACCTTCTGTTGAAGCATCTTAAAGGTGGGAGGAACTTCTGAAAAACTACAATTAGGGCTGGGCAATATGACAGTTTTCATCGCATATCGTGATAATTTATGTCACAGTGTGTCACAGTATGCATTTCTGAGCATATTGTGAATATTGTCAGTACTTAAACTCTGACCAACTGCATGTTTCATTATAAAGAGATAATTAGATTAATTGGGTTTAGTGCAGTACCGTGTATGTGAAATGCTGAATAAAAATCACTGGGAAAGGTCCTAAGAAAAAGCCTACGTCAGATTCATGACGTGTTCTTAAAGAGCAGAATTGTTTGAACAAATTCCAAGTAAGAAAACATCGGTCAGTGTCAAAATCTTTGTGAAAACTGCGTAAGTGAGTTTTAAGAAGAAATTTCTTCTTAAGAATGGTTGGTAAATGAGGCCCAGCGTATTCTTAGTTTTTGATGTATTATGTCACTACTGGCTCTTTTTTTTTGAATATTTTTTTTAAGTATTGTCATATTAGATTTTTGCCACATCGAAAGAAATCTGTATCTATTTTTTTTTTTCTTACAGTGGAGAGAATGGGTTACTTCAATGACAGAAATGTGCCAGATGTGGAGCACAACAAGCTGAAAGCTAGAGTTAGACAAGGCAACCTGGATACCTGGCTGTCTAGATACCTTACCTAAAACTAGAGTTTATAATGTTATTTGTCGTGTTATACAGCATTCTGTAGTGCAGTGTTATAGCCCTTATCCATACCCATTTGACAGAATTCACAATATTACTTTGTTTTCACGTTTATGTCCATCAATTTTCTCTCACTACAGTACAGCAAGCATTATGCAAATACATCATACAACCACTGGGAATCCCTGTGGTGTCAACAAGTCCAGACTGCTACCTCCAATCTATCAGCTAATAAATACAACCAAGCTAGCATTAGTGTAACTCACCTCAGTTGCTGAACAAAATCAAAAAGAAAACAGTGATTTTTATCTTTAATCAGCACATAATTGACAAGAAAAAAAGAAACTGAGGAAACTAAATGGAGGCAGGAATTCCCCTAATGATGTGCTGAAAGTCTGTAATAATAGTACTGTTACTAATTATGAGAAAAGATGATGATAATATTAATAAAACTAATGATGATGACGACAGCAGTAGTAATAGTAGAAGTTTTTCTTGCCATTGGCGACGCTCATGGGGGCTTAGACCGGATTTTTGTGTAAAGCTGCTTTGTGACAACACCAGTTGTAAAAAGCGCTGTATATAAACTTTGACTAGTGGTAGTATTCATAAATGTAGTTTATATAGTGCCATTCTCATACCCAAAGTGACTTTGCAAACACAGCATACACAATAACTACATAGATCACTACAGAACAAATACATTAAACATAAAAATCAACAAGAGAAAGAAAGTATTGAGGAAAGAGGAAGGTTGGACTGTCACAAGGATCCCTAAACTCTTGTCTAGTCAAGTGGACGTCACTAATGCCATTGTTTTGTTTTACAACTTTCATGCTTGGCATCTTACAAAGTTATTTATGTGATGTATATCGCTGTTGTCAGAAGGAAATCTCCAAAATGATAACTGTACAAGAAAAGGAAAAAACATGTAAGTCAGTGGAACCAGAATTTTTTCCCAAGTCATTTTGGGCCGTTTCTTTTGGTCCATTCTTCATGAAATTTACACACAATGTAAAGGACCACAGGCTTTTTCAAATTATGTCAAAACCTGAAAAACATCAAAAATGAAGATACAAGGTTTTCTTCCAATAGCAGCGATGTATTATTCATATAATGGCAGAGATATTTAATACCACTTTTATTAGAGAAATAAAATTGTTTTTCACAAAATGTCAGCTGTTATTATTACTTTTTTAAAAAAAACCTATGTCCAAATGTTACAAATGGATATACAGCAATGAAACTCTTCATATAAAATGATATTATAGAAAAAGTAGTACTATAGAACCATAACTGCTGACCTTATTTTTGAATTGTCACTTTTTCCTTACTCAGATCAAAATAGCTGTTACGGATCTCACTTCTGCTGCTGATACGCTGTAGGGGTAATGTAGCTAACTGTAAACTTAATATGGGTCATTTCCAGGCACCCTGTTCAACATGGCCTTTGCTCGGAGCAGAATAAACCTGACCCACAGAGTCAGCCACCGACCACACAGGACATCACAGAGCAGCAGGATGAATCCAAAGAGAAGAAGACAAATGACCAGGTACACAAGCATCTCTGAGATACATATGTACATGTACATATATCCATATACAGATTTAGCTTGGTATCACCAACATTCGTCATAATACATGTCTGGGAAACCAGCCTTATAAGAAGCAAAGCTATTATTAGGCTCTGCTATTATTAGGTTCCCTGTGCACTCTGAACATTAGCATGGAGCAATGGAATGTCAGGTTTGAGTCTTTATTTTGAACTCAATATGCAGAATTTTCATTCGTATTTATGCATTTTTGTGGTTATTAAGCAGGTCTCTGTGGATCCACCAGACCTTCAGACTACAGAACACAGCACAGAGACAGACGTAGGTCCAGTAGATGAACTACAGAAGCAGGAAACTGGGCTAAAGGAGGAAAATGAAAAGGTACTGCCATATTGGGTTTTACGTTTACTGACAGGATTAATCTTGTGATCTTCTTCCCACTCTTTGTTCCCAGAAGAATGTCTAATTGTTTGCTTTTGGACGTCATGATTACACATGGTAAAAGCTCTGTAAGCCTTTGGCTCCTGACTACAGCAGCATGTTCTTTTATCTTCACTGCAAAATAAACCTTTATATCTCACTAAGATATCTAAGAGACACGTTTCACAGATTAAGTCTAGACTTTGACTGAAAGCCCGAGAATCCCTAGAATTTTCAGTGTAATTTAATTTTAAGAATATGATGAAAAGGAAGAGTCCAAAGAGGAGAAGAGAAATGACCAGGTATGCAAGCATCATTGATATATGGGTCATAGATATGATGTGCATTTTTTGTGTCCAAGTCCATTATTTTCGCAAAAATTAATGAAATAAGTACATGACATATATCGAGTTATTAAACTATACGTCTTTAATTCTAATCATGTTTTAATTTCAGTCCTCCTTTGCTTTGTTGCTTTTTAATTTGAATTATCTTTGTATTTACTCTTTCATAAGACACTTTGAATGACTGCAGTGTTTGAAAGCTATATAAATAAACTTGCTTTGCCTTGCCTTATATGAAACAATTTTCAGTGCATCCGTGTAAAATTCATTTTAGTTTCTTTTTGCCTCCAAAAGTCTAAAAATGTTAGGTGGTGCAAACAGTCCAGCTGTGTCTGCTGAATAAGTAAATTATCAAAAAGGTAATTTAGTTATATAAAAAATTCTAAATACAATAGTTTGGCATGAGTTTATGAAAACTTTAAATTAAAAACCGTATTGCAAATAAAGGCAATTTTAAAAGTGCTCAACTCAGTCAAAAACATTTGTCCGCAGGTTCTTACTTCCTCAAAGTTCAGTTGGCACAACCCAAAACTAAGGACTTTTATTTTGATGTACTTTTACAAAAGAGGGGCCTGGGTATTGCATCATAAATAATCCCCAAGAACCTCAAGTAACCTTCATGGTGCAATGCTAAGGTCACTAGCCTGTTAACAAGTTTTATACCAAAAAAAAAAAAAAAAATGGATTTGATTTGAATCATGGTTATAATGGTTCAGTTTATAATAATATTCATTTATTTGAAAAAATGTAAGTATAAACTCAAGTTCAGGGACAAAGGTTTCTACAGGTGTTTAAGGGTGTTATGCCTGTTTAACTTGAAATAAGTCTGGAAAGTCAGGTGGCTCAACCAGTAAGCCACACCACACCAGTTTTAATAACTGAAATAGGCAATTAAAAGCTTTGAGTAACTTAAATATAGTTTCAGTAACTATATTTAAGATATAGATGCAAATTTATGCAGATATAAAAATGCACATCATGTCCTTTTTAATAAGATTTTTTTTTTAATGTCATTTTGAAAACCTTATTTGTCATTAGCCCATATATTTTTAATGCAAGATTTGTCACAAAGACTAGACTTCATTTTGGAGTAGAAGCCAGTTGATTGTTGTAATGATTTAAATACAGTATCAGAAAATGTCAAAAATTAATACTAAACATTTTAATGTACATCTGATACCCCCTCAACGTTTTCCAAGGGTCTCTGATTTACCTTCTTTCATGGAAGCCACTGTCAATGATCAAAAATAAGCATCTGAGTGTGTCCTAGTAAAGTGAGAGGAAAGTCTGTGGAGAAGAGGTGGGGCTTATGCTGTGCATGCACCCATTCTCAAATGAGTAGGATAAAGATGAAGTGATTTTTGAGGCCTATTTTAACACGCACTGTAAAACAAGGTCTGTTGGAGAACTTGGATAAAAAGATGTAGTCATATCTATGTTACACACAAATTATCAGAAATTCAATCTAGACCTCATAGTTAAAGATCACATAGAACCTGAAAATGTAGGTTGTTACACCCCTTTTGATCTTAAATATTCCATCAGAATCTGTTGATGCTGCATAAGGTTGAAAAACCTGTTGTTTTTCAGGATTTGCAGGTGGATGGGACCACAGCAGAGTCTGTTTTGACTCCAGAGTCTTCAGAATCTTCCGTTCCTCAAGAGCAGACCACCGACCTCTCCCCTGTCCCTGCTGAGTCTGTAACTGCTCCTCAGTCTGCCCCCGTCTTTGAGGGACTGTCCTCCACTACCACTGCCTTACCTGGACCAGCTCCCTGCAGGTCAGAGGCCTTTAAGAACACTGAGTAATTAATTACAGAAATGACCAAGAGATGAACTGGTGATGGCTGAGGCATCTACCTCTTTCTGTGATATTTCTTGGCTTCCTTTTGAACACCAAAGGGATGAGTTTCCTTAAGTTATCCATAGAGATAACTGACAATGATCTGAAAACTACTGGTCAGGTTTTTGCTTCTGGATTGCATTAAATCCTAAAATCTGGCAATTTCGTCAGCTATTGCACACATTTATTTTAATCCGTAAAACCAAAGTCTGGCCAAATGAGGTCTGAAAAACAGATCTTGTGAATTTCACATCCTTCTCAGTTATTGTTTTGAGTAATCTTTGCTTATTCAGGTGTTTTCATTTTGCTCATACATCTGACTGGAGAGATGTGAATCACAGGATTTTCTTTCTCTTCACAGTGGTGGCGATGACTCCTGCAACTCTGCTTCCATCACTGCTGTCTCTACCACGGCTGCCTGTGAGGCAGGAGTCAGTCCTCCGTATGATGGGGACGTTACCAGGTATGACAAGTGATGTGACACCTGCTCATCACCCAGTTATTAAGTTATTCTTGACATGAATCGGTTTCCTGAAATGGCAGTGGATGTTAGCATTTGTTAAACCCTTTCTGTTTTTGTGGAAGTTATTGGATGTATTTTACGATAAAGTAGCCACATTTTATCATTTAACACAGTAGCCAAAATATAGCACAAGAATGTTAGGAGAGATCCTTTCCAGGCCATGACATGTAAGTTTGTAGAATAGATTATGCAACAGCTGTTCATCATTCAGATGATGAAGCACTTACTTTTTTCTCGATATGATGAAAGTGTATTGAAAATACTTTAAAATACTATAGAGGGAAAGCTGTTGGCGAACAGTGTTATTTGTATTACGTGTAGGCTGATTTCTGGCTATTACTGTTGATTTTTGTTGAAACCGTTCATTTAACCAGCTTCCTTTTTTCTCTCGTTTGTGTATTGCAGGAGTACCAAGGTTAGTTTAGACCAAGCAAAGGAGCAAGGAATTAACGCTTCCAGGGTGCTGAAAGATCTGGTAAGACCTCCCAAAGGACTGGTTCTAAACTGAAGAAAGTTTAAAAGGATACAATCAAAAAATTCTAACATCAAAGTAAAAAAATACCAATATTTTAGACATCATAGTAACGCTGGTGTTTTCATCACTCCAGCTGGCTTCTATTCATTCTTGCCCATTTGAATATTTTTCGCCAGACTACCTCTTTAAATCCTCAGCTCCCTGTTGCTTGCTACTAGGGCAGTAATTTATGAAGGCTAAGCACCTGCAGAGATGCTTTTTGTAATTAGAAGTATCAAAATGAAGCATAAAATGTATATTTCCCCTTGTGGATGTAGCTAGGGAGTTGGAGAAGATTGTGATTTTTGATAAGCAAAGAGATCTTTGCATTTTTTTATTTGTGAACAATGTGAGTAGCCTAACTTGCTCAATTTTAACATTCAGCAGAACGTTCCACCCAGAGAAACAGATCCATCAGTTACCGGCAAAGACCAAGAAGACATTCCTACTTTTGATGAGTGGAAGAAGATAATGTTGGAGGTGGAGAATGAAAAAAGTAAGTTAAGTTGGTGGTCTCAGTTAATAGAGACATCAAAGATTTTATTTGTTTACTTCAATCAGTATTTTCTAGACATTCCTCTTGTGTACACTTCTGGGCAAGAAAATGGGCCAAGCCCAAAAAAGCGGAAAACATTAAGCTTTTAACGGTTTTAACAACAAATCATTAAACAAATAGATAAAATGATTTAATATCAGAGAGCTTCTCTCTTGGATTTCTTGAAAAGTTTTGTGTGTAAATGTAAAAGTCAGTGCTTTTCCACTCAGCACTGACAGTTTCAAGCAGTTGAAAAACATTGCCGAGCTAGTTGCTGTTCAATGTGAGACATAATATTTTCTATAGGGTTTTAATCTGGACTCTGACCGGCCAAAACCATAAGTAAAAACCACTACATTTTGGGCCTGGCCCATTTTTTTGCCCAGGAGCGTACAACAAACACCTAATTTCAAGAAAGTGAGGGAAAATCAGTTTTCAGTTATCATATAGGTCATTTAAGTGTCTGTCTAAATGTGTGCATGTGGACTGCATTACTCAAAACACATTAATTTGCCTCCATCAGGTCAAACCACGCACACGTCCTGTAATGGGGGTTCCGGCACTGTTAAGAAAGTGCAGAAAACTACAAACTATGCCTCAGTGGAATGTGGAGCTAAGATTCTGTCCTCTAATCCTGAGGCAAAGGTACCCAAAAACCACTTCATGATATTGCATAATAGAATTGGCAATGGCTTACAGTGAACCTGCTCCATTACTGAATGTGAAAAGGACTTTTGCTACCAAAACTTGTACAACAGTTTGTATTTTACTATTTTGCACATTTTAGAATAATAATGAAGATAATAAATAATTGTTAAATATAATAATAATCATTTAGAATAATAATGATCAAAAACTTTGAAATAGTTCATATGAAATTATTTAGGCTTCGTCCTCCTCTCGTCAGAAGGTAATTGATTAGTGAGGACACACATTTGAATGTTACCTTTTATTGAGAAACACATAGGATGATCTAATGATCGTTGGTCCAGCTCTACATTTTCCAATGATAAACTTCTCTAAAGTCCTAAATTCATGTTTATAGTTGTCTTGGAAACAAGATCAGATTATTAAAAAATGAAAAAGTATACAATCAGATGTGTCCAAACTTTTGTCTGATAATGCTATGTTTATATGTATGGATGAATGGATGTATAATTTATGTATTTGTTTATTTAGAGCACTTCGGCCATCCTGATGGAGAACATGGACATGTACATGCTGAATCCCTGCAGCAACAAGATATGGTGAGTCCAACACAGCACTCAGTATGTACCTGTTGTAACCACTGCAGTGTGAATCAGGGCCTATACTCTGTTAGAAATAAAGGTTCTGTGCAGGTACATTTTTTGTTCATCAAGGTGCAAACAGTGTAAATGTACCTCAAAGGTACAACAGGGGTTTTAAAGTCCAATTCTGTACATTAAATCAGTTTTTCCAGGTGAAAAGTATGTATTTGTACCTTTTCATAATCTAATGTTTTAAAACAGAACAGTAAAATAAAAGCCTGGAGACGAGACGGGGTGTGTGGAGTCAATATAACTTAGAAAATATAATTTCAATGGGTTTTGGTACAGTTATGTTCCCTGACTAAAGATACTGAGATGTACCCTTGAGGGTTCCACCCCTGTGACAGGAGGGGTACTGCCCCAGTGACCATTTCATACCTTTATTTCTGAGACTGTACTTACTGTCTCTGTACTTACTTACCTGTGCTGACCTGTAAATGCAACAACCCTAATACAGAGCGGAGGCAGACGTTAACTGAATCTTGTTCTTACTTCCTTAACCCTGCTCACCATACTTCACTCTTCCGGTCACTCTGATCTTTGTTCCTGTTTTCTTTTTCCCTCATCTTTCCATCACTTCTCTTCCATAGCTCTTCCACTTCTCTCAACCATAGCATCCACCTTTTCTTCAAGTTCAACCATTCTGTTCCTCTCTGTGCACCTCCAGGTTTATCATTGAGTTGTGTCAGCCCATTCAGGTGAAGCAGCTGGACATTGCCAATTTTGAGCTCTTTTCCTCGACCCCCAAAGACTTCCTGGTCTCAATCAGTGACAGGTCAGAACATTTGCTTACAAACACAGTTTTACACCGATCAGGCATAACATTATGGCCTATGCTCATTGTCCATTTTATCAGCTCCACTTACTATATAGGTGCACTTTGTAGTTCCACAGTCACAGACTGTAGTCCATCTGTTTCTCTGCATACTTTGTTAGCTTCATCAGTGGTCACAGCACGCTGCCCACAGGATGCTGTTGGCTGGATATTTGTGGTTGGCGGACTATTCTCAGTCCAGCAGTGACACTGAGGTGTTTAAGAACTCCAGCAGCACTGCTGTGTCTGATCCACACTAACACACCACTGCCACATCAGTGTCACTGCAGTGCTGAGAATGATCCACCACCCAAATAGTACCTGCTCTGTGAGGGTCCATGGGAGTCCTGACCACTGAAGAACAGGGTGAAAGGGGGCTAACAAAGTATACAGAGAAACAGATGGACTACAGTCTGTAACTGTAGAACTACAAAGTGCACCTATATAGTAAGTGGAGCTGATAAAATGGACAATGAGCATAGAAACAAAGAGGTGGTCATAATGTTATGCCTGATCAGTGTATATTGATAGTTTTATACTGACACACAAAGAATTTGTCTTAGTAAGTGTACACATGTAACATACCAAACAGACTAAGCCAGCACAGTAAACTTTTAAATGTTTAAGAGAAAGTTTAATTTAAGCTCTCTGTGCCTTTGACCATTTGATTATGGGTTATGGTTGATAATTACAGTGGTTGTAAGTACAGAAGGCGCTAATGTTGCAAACCAGCTGACAGCTCAGTGTTCCCTAACAGCAGTGTTTCCAGAAATGTTTAGAAGTCTGACTCGCAAACTAATATACAGACTGTAATGTAGTGTTAGCGTTTTGATAAATGGTGCAGTTGTTGGAATTTCTAGTTACGGATATACTTTTTACTTCGGTTTTCATCATTGTAGTCTAGAATCCCTTTACGAAGTTGTATCAGAGGAAGTATTTTTTAGTCTGTTTTATTAGTCTTTATATAACCCTGATGTTCCATAACCCCTAAACAATTCAGTTAAATGTAATTGGAAATCTTGGTATTTGGTATTTTGTGATTGGTCTCCACTGTATTATCCACAGATATCCAACCAACAAGTGGGCCAAGCTTGGGACGTTTCATGCTCGTGATGAACGAACAGTTCAGAGTTTTCCACTGGACGAGCATTTATACGCTAAATATGTGAAGGTATGTGGGGACAGTTTCACACAGCTTCTACACACCTCAGTTACAAAAAGTTGGGGCTTTATATGAAATGCTAATAAAATCAGAAAGCGGTGATTAGTGAATTTAGTTTGACCTTTGTTAAATTTGAAAACACTACAAGAACAAGATTTTAATAAGATTTTAATGTAAATATGTGCTCATTCCAAATTTGATGCCTGCAAAATGTTTTAAAAAATTGGGACAGGAGCATATTTTCCACTGTGTTACATCAACTTGCATGCTCAGATTATGCAGCCATCCTTTTGTAAAACATGCAGCATTTTTCTTGGCGTTGTTATTTTTAAATAAGCTTGGACTTCCCTGAAAATTATGTTGTCTAGAAGGCAGCATATCACTGCTGTTGGAACAAAACCTTGTATCTCCATTTTTACTGTTTTTCATTTTTTTACTGTTTTTACATAATTTTAAAGTGCCTGTTGCCACTTATATTGTCTGTAAATTTCATAATAAATGGACCAAAGGAAATGTTCTAGAATGACTTTGAAAAAAGTCTGGTTCCATTGACTTACATTAAAAGTAAAGCAGGTTTTTTCCTGCTCCTGTAAATTTCTCATTTTGGAGATACAATGTTTTCTTCCGACAACAGCGATATGTTGCTTCAAAATGTGTATAGATCTTTCTGCTTAAATGATGCCACAGAAGTGCAAGATATCCATGTCATGGGTACTAATACACCCACATACAATGACAAGCCCTGGCTTTTGAACTTTATGCTGGTAACAATCTGGGCTGGGTTTCCCCAAAGCATCTTAGCACAAGAATAATTCGTAGATGTTAGACAGAGCATCACACTCACACTCTGTCTGCTCTTCTGTTGTCTAAATTGCCTCTGTACCAACTTTTTTGGAACATGTTGCAGGCATCAGTTTTATAATTAGTGTATATTTACAAAAAAACACAAAGTTAATGAAGAAAATATTTGTCTTCCTACAGTTTTTGTTGAACTATAGGTCAGTTTGAAATTTACAAGTCATTGCTTTTTATTTGGTATTTTCCTTTTACATAACCCACCAACATTTTTGGAAATGAGATTTTCAATTTCCAGGATATTTTCTAAATTGTTTGTGCTTTTTAATTCACATGTACAACACAAATTCTTTTGAGTAGGCTTGTTGGTTTAGGATCAATTTATAGACATTTAGTGTGAAAACAGGATGCCTTTGTCAGTGTTCTTGTGAATTACAAGCTTCCAGCTTGTTTCTATTCCCAGCTTGTTTTTTTTGTTTTTTTTCTCAACTTTTTCTCTGTTTTTCTCTCTTTTGCTTCAGATGTTCACCAAGTACATAAAGGTTAGCCCCCCTCCCCAACCTTTCTGTTAGATGTGCTTGGATGTGTGGGTGAAGAGATTAAGGGAGGATAGATAGAAGGTACAAGAACATAGTCAGTCACAGTGGATCTTCAGATTAGCAGTGAAGGATCTCTGAAAGTCTAGAAAGTCTAGTATGTAAGTATACTATGCAGTGGTCACCAACCCTCCTCCTGGAGATCTATTTGCCTTCATAGTTACTTCCAACCACAAATGTGAATGCATCTGATTGAGTCAGTCAACTGCTGTAGAACGTAATTAGCTGGAGCAGGTGTAGGGGTTTGTGGTTAGAACTAGCCTCCACAGGAAGGTAGATTTCCAGGACCAGGTTGGCATCCACTGCTCTTGAAGGTTCTAGAAGAGAATGGTGTGCAGCTCGTACTCTTGTGCTGAAGTTATTTTCCACATGGGGTTCTTGAACTGAGCACGGCAGTGCAGTTTGGTGTTGAACAATGAAACCTGGCAACATCTCTGATGGGGAGCAAAAATGTTGTTGAGCATTTTACAATAAGACTACCCTTATATAGGGTATATTAATAATTTCAAAATTAGTTCATTAATGGTTATTAATTAGGTCACAAACACCTTAATAAGCGGTTTTAACATATAAACATATATTTAACATATAAATCATATGGGGAATATTGAGCTGTTCAATCTGCTGAATATGAATATCAGATGAAGCTGACAGGTTTAATGCTGGCTGATGGAGAAGACAGAGTAAGATAAGTAACCAGCAAGGAGGTTTAACGGTATAGATGTCAGCTCATCATCTGGCAAGCAACAGGTCATTGTCTTAGTCTTATAACTGCTTTATAATCAGGTGTTTGTAACCTACTAAATAATCATGAATGAACTTTATTTAAATCATTCGTAAAACCCTTTATAAGGGTGGTTTCATTGTAAAGTGGTACCCCAAATCCTTAATTATGAAAGGAAGCCCCCCCTCCAAACTTTATGTAGGGAATAATTGTATATCGCTGCTGTCGGAAGAAAACCTTGTATCTCCATTTTTGACGTTTTTCAGTTAATAATTTGAAAATGCCTGTTGCCCTTTACATTGTTTGTACATTTCATGATGAATGGACTAAAAGAAATGACCCAGAATGACTTGGAAGAAAGTCTGGTTCCATTGACTTACATTAAAAGTCAGTAGGTTTTTTACCTTCTCCTGTACAGGTACCATTTTGGAGACACAAGGTTTTCTCCTGACAACAGGGATATTCTTTGGCCAGGGAATGATTTCACAATGCACCTTCAATAAAAGCTCTGAGTTCAGTTCTGAGTTGCTCACTATCACCATCTACTGGACACTCTGTTTAATAGCCCTTTAGTAGAAATCACTTCTTAGCATGTGGTGCAGATGGAAATTATGTCTGTGGTAACACATGACTGCTAATTCCTTTGTGCGTGCAGACACTGGTGGGTGGGCATTAGATGTCTTTACTTACAGACTTGTATGTGAAACTAACATTGTGTTGGACTGGGCTTGTCTGAGCTGAATCTCATAATAAAGGGCCCATATCATGGCAAACAAAAAGAGGTCATTTACATATATCAGTCTTAAAGTCAGTAACAAAAGCAGCCAAAGCAAACCTAAGAGATAACAAGAAAAACTATTAGAAATATGTAGGATGTGGGCTCTTTAATGTGTGGCACCATAAGGCTTGTATCCCCCACTTAACATGTTTTTACAGCAGTAGTCTACACTCGGTTGGGAAACTTAAACAAGACAAAAATGAATTTGCTGGTATTTAGACCTGCAGAGAAAAATATTTTTCTGTGGATCTTGTTGGGAACGTCTGTGTAAAGGCCTCATTGCCAAATGAATAAAGGTGCTTGGCCTTTTAATGGTATGTATGTAACAGAATGTTGGCCTGTTTGTGGTTGTCCGTGTCTATGGAGCTTTGAATGTATGTGATTATGTACAGAATGTGTTGAAACCTAAAGGACACTTCAGTTTTTTGTTGCTCCATCAGTCCCATCCCTACTCCGTACTCTTTCCGACCACACTTTTAATTAAACCCTGTTACATAACGCTGACATAACCATGCCATAAACATGGGATGGCCGACGTCATATGCTCCCATGAGTTCTCATAATAGACTTTGTTTAGTAATATAACAGTGTCCTGTTACCATTTCTGGTAATTGTCATGACAGATGCTGTAATGTTTGGTGTTATTTTTATACTATGTTTATGGCATTATTATGTCAGTGTTATGTAGCAGGTTCTCCACTTTCAGCACAATGCCTCAAGAAGTCTGAATGTCCCTCATTATCTCTCATCATCTGACCTGACTAACACTTCTGAAATTAGTCTTCCATCACCTTGAAACTAAATTATTCAGTTTGATTGCATTGTTTTCTCACAGCTGGATCTCTTTCTGTTTTTTAATGTAATATAAAATTGTTCCTCTCTGTGGTCATTTTTGCACATGACTGTAGGTGGAGCTGCTGTCACACCATGGGTCCGAGCACTTCTGTCCTCTCAGCCTGATTAGGTAAGGTTGAAAGAGCATTCCTCACAAGTGTCATAATATGTGATATGATGTACATCTTTGTGGTGGTCATATACATTATATGGCCAAAAGTAGGTGGGCACCTGACCATCAAACCTATATGAGCTTGTTGGACATTCCAAACCATGGGAATCCCCCATATAACAGGCTATAACAGTCTCCACTCAGTTTTCCAATAGGTTTTGGAGTGTGTCTGTGCAGATTTGTGCCCATTCAGTGAAAAGAGCACTTGTCAGGTACTGATGTTGGGTGAGAAGGCCTGGCTCACGGTTGACCTTCCAGTTAATCTCAAAGGTGTTCGGTGGGAACACTCCAGAGTCCAGAGGCGGTATGCTTCACACCACTCCAGCTGGCACCTGGCATTGCGCATGGTGATCATAGGCTTGTGTGCAGCTGCTTTGCCATGGATACTCATCTACAAACAGTTCCTGTGCTGATGTTCACTGTAATGAGTGATGCAACAGACGGTGGGCAATAGTTATGCGCTATGTGCTTCAGCACTCGGCAGTCCTACACTGTGTGTATGCCTTTTCTACCTTCATGACTGAGCTGTTGTTGCTCCTAAATGCTTCTATTTCACAGTAACAGCACTTAGAGTTAACTGGAGTAGATCTAACAGGGCAGAAATTTCACAAAACTGACTTTTGACGTGGTGGTGGCATCCTATGACAGTGTCACATTTAAAATCGCTGAGATCTTCAGTATGATCCATTCTACTGTCAGTCTTTGTCTATGGATATTGCATGAATATTCACTTGATTTTATATACCTGTTAGCAGTGGGTGTGGCTGAAACACCTGAAATCAATAATTAGGAGGGGTTGTCCACATACTTTTGGCCATATAGTGTGTATCCCTGTATTACAATTGTTAAGTAGAATTTGTCCTCTACATCAGTAATTCTCATGCATTCTCAGGGTCCACCTTATGGTCCACATTTTTGCTTTATCTTAGCTTCCAGCACACCTGATCCATCGTTAAGAATACCTGATACAGGTGTGTTCAGAGCCAAGTTAGATCATAAATGTTACTATGCGCTCTGATTACTATTCTAGATAGCCAGTTAATTTACATGCTCTTGTCTCATATGACTGTGAAGCAAGTCATTGTATTCGAGGTGTAGTTTATACTGCTGAACAATAGTAAAGGGAAGATCCAGCTTTCAATCTGTACACACAAAGAAAAATCTAAAGGACCCCAGTAAATGTGTATAGTGAGATTTTCTCAGTTTGTTTTCCTTTTTTTTTATCTCTGTATAGTTCTTTAATGTTAAGCTACAAGGAGACACTAGGTAGGAGTTTATCATAGTTGACTAAAAGCACAACAGTCTAATTCAAGCAGTCTGCTTCCTTATCTCTACTAAACTACCTCATATAACCTTTAAAACCCCATTTATACATTTTCTGTATTGAATTGTGTAAATCACATTTAAGCATTTTATCACCCACTATTTGAAAACATATACATACATAAGGTTCATTAGTAGCCTGACGCATTTTGCTTATGTCAGTATTTGTTCCTCTCTCTCGTGTTTTAAGGGTTTTTGGGACGAGTATGATGGAGGAGTATGAACTAAATTCAGAGCCCTCTGAAAGACTCAACTTTGAAGATGAGGACTATGGTGAGGGGCTGTTAACTGTATAGTTGTGTGCATTACAGTGATAAGGATAGTCATTTCAGTCATACACGTTTCTGTTTATAGCATGTAGTGACGCACCTTTTTTACATGGTAGTAGCTATTTGTAGTTGCTTATAAGATACTGCTATTACTGTGTAACTTCTGCTTTTTCTCTTAATCTGTAGATTACCCTCCTGGATATCTGCCATCAGATGACAAATCTTCAAAGAATCTGATTGGGTCTGCCAAGGGTAAGTTTCACGGAGTTTCATGGCATTTCCGTCCTTGCTCATTTGTGGCTTGATTTGATCTGAGAATTGCATGTGTTTCACCTAACATACTCTGTAATGTTACTATTTGGCAAGAGCCATGGTAGAAATAAACATATTTAGTATGAACCAACACAGGATAAAGTAATAAAATAGAAAAAGCTGCTTTACTTAATTGGTAATACCAAACATTGTAGCATAATCAAGTCATTTCATGCACGTAAGCATTGTTTTGTCTGTTTTGTATGTATTTACAGATGTTATTCTTAATATGGTGAACAACATTGCTGCCAACGTGTTGGGTGGAAATCCAGAAGATGCAGCTAGGAGTGGAGGTACATCTATGTATACATAGAGTAGATAGAGACAGCTTCAAACACCTGACCCATACAATGAGCAGAGAATTTTATAAATAATTGGTCATTAGATGTTAAAAGCTTTGAGACTTTGAGACAAAAATGTATTTGTTTTGCTTCTTTTGGCAGGCAACTATTCCTCCCTGAATCTGAATTTAACAGAAACATTAGGAACTCCTCAGACAGTTCCCCCAACCACCTCCTATGTTATGTAAGTACTAATGGAAATGAAGTGTGTTCAACATAATTGATAATTGCATGACGAAATGAATTACCAAAGACAAGGATGTAAGGGAATTTAAGAAATATTTTGGATGTTTATTAAACATTGTAATAAGTACAGTACTGTTTAATTATCCAGTTAATCAAGCCTGTACAATACTTAGTAGATGCATTACTGGGAATGTTTTGCCTTTCACTAACATTTCACTAATAATAGCTAGGTTTCCATATAGTATTTTATCTTATTTTTGCATTTCAAATAAAAAAGAATTGGTAGAAACAGCAAAAATTAAATGATTGTGAAATCTTCTATGTAGGTTTGTATATTTGCTTGAACTGGATACATTTTTACATCATTTACATCATTACATTTTTTAGATCATTTTGGAAACGAAATAAATAATGTACATGCAAGTTGAATTACGTTGTATGCCTGTTCATGTGTTTCTGTTTTTGCCTGGTTATAACAATTAAACTTATTTTAACAATTTAAAATACAGCCCTAAAATTAAACAAAATATCCACAAGAAATTGCTCAACATTACTGAATTTTCTATAAACTCAGTTCATATTACTAAGAAGCATTATTACAGATGTGCCAGAGAGAGTATTCTCTAATTTACATAATTTGCAAATTTTCAGTTATTAGCTTGAATTCAGTTCGACAGCTAGATGGAAACCTGGTTAATAAATAAAGACTAATAGGGACAAATTAGCATTACGCTATGCGAATGGGTTTCCACCAGTTTTCATTCGGTGTAAACTGTATTAATATTTTGGGTGGACTTCTGTCACTGCATTTGTCTCCTGTTATTCAGGTCGGAGACTTTAGAGCAGGACCAGCGTGACTTGAGTGAGATCACAGAGACAGTTTCCATCACACAAGACACAAGAGATGCAGACCAGACAGTACCTGAACCCACAGCCTCACTCTCAGAGGCTCCCTCAGCAACGCTGCCTGTTCCCGAGTCCCTCACCCCAACTCCCCCTGATGAAGAACAGATCGTCACTCTGTTGCCCAAGGAGGAGGAGGACTCAGATGAACTTGGCCAATCAGAACAGTCATCCAGCTCCATACCACAGGAAGAGGAGCAGAGAGTGAAGTCCGAACAGGATCAGCAGTACTCAGGAGTTCAAGAGAGTAACAGCTGCTGTGCGCTGGCTCCTGATTCCTACTCTTGCGTTGTTTCTCTTAAAGAGCACCTCCTGCAGAGGTGCTTTCCACCACCAACTCTCCAGAAGAAGAAAATAAAGACAAAAAGTAAGATTTCAAAAGATTTGCAATCTCAAGTTAGCGCACATTCACAGGAAACTCATGCTAAAGTTCCAGTCCTGATCACATCGTCTGTGACACAGGCGCTCCCCACTTTGACAGTGGAGACGCCTTCCACCCCAGAAGATTCCACCACAGAAGTGTTCGTATCTTCTTTCCACGAAAGTGAAAAGAAACCTCAGGTTGGATCTCTTGATCTTGAGCCAAGTCTGACCTCAGCTCTCCCGAAACCTACTTCCATGAATGCCCTTGCCTCTGAAGCCACTCATGCTATTGACTTTCTGGACTCTTTGGTCACAGAGCCACCTGAAGTCACCCTCCCTCACCAGGAGAAGACCAAAGAGAAACCAGCAGAAGTCAGGAAGACTCCTCTCATTACCGAGCACTTAGAATCAGTGTCTACTCCAGTTTTAAAGACCAAAAGTGATGAGGTAGATCGTGACCAGAAGCTACCATCTACGGCAGAAAAGTCCACCACTGAAACGGATAGCCTGACCACTAGTGTGATGTCCAGCGTTGTGGATCAGACACCGCTTACTCGTCTGTCCACTCCCACAGATCAGTCCATTCCTCAGCCAACCAAGACCAGGCCTGCAGCCCCTGCTGGGACACTGACAGCTGCCCCAGTAACAGAAGCTGTAGAGAGCACAGCGGCTACAGCAGAACCCAAAACTGAAGAGCTTCTTGAGGAAGCTGCTCTAGGAGGCCACGGCAGTAATGGACAGTCAGGGCAGCCATCTTCCTCAGACTTCTATGCTGAAATGCCCAGTTCCACAGATGCGCCGATCCATGGCTCTAACCAGAAGGAGTCAGTCTTCATGAGGCTCAACAACCGGATCAAGGCCCTTGAGGTGAACATGTCCCTCAGCGGGCGCTACCTGGAGCAGCTCAGCCAGAGGTAACTACTGCTTTCACTGAATACTAATACACTCACAAAGACAGCCTATCAGTAGTTTGGAGACACCTAGCTCTTCAGAAGGAGTTCATACCAATGAGCCTGATTTTTATTGTTGATTTTCAATAAATTTACTTAAGATTAACAAGGTTTATTTTGAGGAAAATCATCTTTTTAACTTGGATGTAAAGCCAAAGCATATTATCTCCTTGTTATGATGTCAGTTTGAAAGATCCAAACCCAAATACAGCTCAACAAAGATATATTCCCGAAGCCGACCTGACCAGAACCACATCACCAAGTTTATAGTCTGAAACTGACCTGAGTTCAACAAAATTCAAAGTAAATCAGAAACCAGCCCATCAAACCCGACTCCTGAATAAAACCTCACATTCGTAATGATGGCACTGGTTAAATTATTGTGTAGTGATGACAGTAGTTGTCTTTAAGTCACAGATAAATAAAATTAAAAAATGATATAAATTAATAATGTATTATTAATATTTATGCCAAAGTGCTGGAAAAGAGGCTCTGACCCACAGGCGAACCTGTTTGCAGCTGAGTGTTGAGCAGTTTGTATGTGGATCAGCACCCCATGGTCCTAGCCTAGAAAAGGTTGGCATGCCCACTCCAGGTAAGGGGAAAGGACCTGCTCCAGGTGGAAGAGTAGTATCTTGGGGTCTTGTTCACGAGTGACAGGAAGAGGGATTGTGAGATCGGCCGCAGGCTGGGACAGGCGGCAGCAGTAATGCGGTCACTGTACTGGACTGTAGTGGTGAAGAGGGACCTAAGCCATAAGGCAAAGCTCTCTGTTTATCGGTCAGTCTACATCCCAGCCCTCACCTGTGGACATGAGCTTTGTGTAATAGAGAGGAGCCAGTTGAGGTGGTTCGGGCATCTGATTAGGATGCGCCCTGGACACCTCACAAAACTTTACCGGGCACGGCTTACTGGGACGAGACCCCGAGGTCGTCCTAGGACCCGCTGGAGGAATTATATCTCCAAGATGGCCTGGGAGCAGCTCTTCTGGAATGAGCTGGAGGAAGCTGCGGGGAACAGGGTTGTCTGGGATTCTTTGGGTTTATGATGACGACGATGATGATACCTTATAGCACATCAAACTGAATTCCTTGGGTCTAAAGCATTATAGGGTTTAGTGTTCTCTCTGTTATTTGGTTGAAAAGCTCTGCCCCTTGCATTCAGTTAGTGTTATAAAGCTCTTTCTAACCTTTTTTAAGTGTTTGAATCACGATATGTATGCTTTATGTTAGTTATCGTTTCAGTGAGTCAGCACATTCATGAGTGCATAATACCCAGTTATGCTGGTTTTGGCTGGTTTCATCACTGATGTAACACTTTACATCTGTTTGTATGTCTTCTACATCACATTCTCATGGGTATAGTTCCCTGTACGCTGTGTACAGAATGTCAGATCACTCAAACATTTTAAAATAGAAAGTGGTTTAGGATATAGAATTTTAGAGGTGTCTATTTTAATCCTTCTTTTGCTTGTTTCATTCATTGTTTTTTCCTCAGGTATCGAAAGCAGATGGAGGAGATGCAGAAAGCCTTCAACAAGACCATCATCAAACTCCAGAACACTTCAAGGATTGCTGAAGAACAGGTTTGAGAAAATCTAAATTAATGTATTTGTATGTATGTATGTGTTTGTACTGTTCTCTGTAATGCTGTACTGTTGATTTACTGTGTTCTCAGACTCGGCTCTGGGTAAACACACTGATATCTTTAAACCTCAGTGCACTGAGAGAGAGAAGCTAGAGCTGCATTTTATACATTTAGCTTTGAAAATCCTTTTGTTTTCCTTTGTTCCCTGTAGGACCAGAAGCAGACTGAGTCTATTCAAGTACTGCAGGGGCAGCTGGAGAACATGACTCAGCTCATTCTTAACCTGTCTGTGCGAGTGAGCCAGCTACAGAGAGAGGTAGGGACTCTCAATTTTAAATTATTTTTAGTGTCTGAGAAATTCTGTGATGGAATAACCCTTAAACAAACCTTACATTTAACCCAGGTGGAGCATGCTTGAGTGCTTGACTACACACACACATGACGTTTTATTGTCTGTTATGTATGCTGATACATAGTTGTACATGATGAAAGGTATAGCTTCTGCTTTTTTGATCATGTGCATCAAATAAACATATTCAGATATCCAAATGAGAACATTATAAATAAAATGAAAAAAAAACACTGAAATTTGAACATTGGTTTATTCCTTTCTGTTAGCATGAGAGGTGTTCCAAATCAGATTGTGAGGTTAATGCTGTCTCTGTTTTAGTCATATGTGATTTAACATACTGGCAGTTGACCTACAGAATGGTGGGAAACACTAGAAAATTTTTTATTTTTTTTCCTCTGAAACATTTCCATTTACGGCTCCGATTCGTCATTTCACTTAACATTAAAAGCTACTTCATTTTCCCCCTAATATTTTATTTTCAAATTTTAAATCATTTAGAACAGTACAACACAAACCCGTCAACACCACAAACCCACCATCCCCGAGCATAGCCCAAACACCCATTAATTATTAAAGGGTGGGGAGAGAGAGAGAGAAGAAAAAAACAAAGAGTACATTCAGGGTCATTTTAGATGGTCCAAGAATGGAACCCAAACCAAGTTAAACCGTCTCTGTGCTCCTGAGTCACCACTAAGCAACCTCTCCATTGTAATAATATGAAGCATCTCTGATAACCAATGTTTAAAACATGGTGGAGAAGCTGATTTCCAGTTTAAATTGAATTGAATCTGAGAATCCACAAATGTTTTTAATTATTTATTGTATCAGTTTAATCTTATTTGACACATTGATGATCGCCTGATTTGAATAGTCAGTTAGGTAAACTAAGAAGTTTGGATTTCTGTATGTGTGATTAACTTAGTTGTTTCTCAGAAATCGAAGAGTAAATTCTGAGATCCTATCTGGTTTATAAGGAACGATGTCTGAGCAGTGGTTTGTTCTGCAGGTGTCTGACAGGCACAGCTACCTGCTGTTGTCTCTGGTCCTCTGCTTTTTCCTTGGGACTGGCCATCTGCATCAATTTCTGTCGCATGTCGGCTGAGACTTCGTCCACAGAGCCTGACTCTCCTGTACCCAAAACATACAGCTACTGCTGCCCTGACAGGTGAGTGTCTATACGCACACATCCATACATTTGTATGATTATGTGTGCTTGAATACAAACCATTGTTGTATGTTATTTTGATTAAGCCTAATGCAGACATTCTACTTATTTCAGAGCTTCATTTGATTATGAAGATGTGAACCTAAAGCGAAGAGCATCGTATCCCTTCTCACAGTCATCACTGCAAATTTCAGCTGCTGAAGGTATAAATGCAGTATTTCAAACAAGCCTGAAACACAGATGACAAGACTGCACTTCTGCTGTAAATGAAAAATGTTTAAATGTGTTCAAACACTGATGGGATTAAATTTACATATCAGTATCATATCCATTATTCTATTACATCTCCATAAGTAAATGTGGACAAAGTACAACACTTCTTAGAAATGGTCCTAGAAAAATACTACTTGAGTAAAAGTGCACATATCTATATTTTAAGCACTTGTTTGTAAAGGTACTTCTGTGATGAATAAAAATGTACAGAGAGCTATTTTAACAATATTTAACTATTTGAGCTATTTTGTAATAAAGAGACCGATATTTCAAAATGTCTGCATAAGTAAATAGTTAAGATGTAAATAAAGTCATTTAGAGGTTTGAGTCCGAATTGTTCCCAGTGGTGGTGATAGGAACCAGACATCTGATGAGTTCGATGCCTCTAAAAGCTCTCTCACAGAAAGTTATTACATTAAATGGTTCTAAACATTCTGCCTGAAGTCTGAGATGTTGTTTAATGATAGTTTTGAAATAAGATTTTGGACTAAAACATATTGTAAAATATATTCATGGCAGAGAAATACATAAGCATGGAAAAACAGTCCTCACAGTAAATTCTTTCTTCAGACTTACCACTGTGTTTCCATTATAAACATTACATTAATATTTTGGATAGTAAATAAAATGTTTTTGCATTCTTAACATGGCGACCCCTGGTTCCTATCACTGTTGCTGTAAAGAAATCGGAGACGATATCTTTTTCCTGCAATGAATTTCACAGCAAACTGCTCTGAATGACTTTGTTTACTGTGCCATTTCACTGCACAGAAATTTTGAAAAATCAGTAGAATTCCCCCTTAAGAAGATCTGTGCTAACTCAAGCTTACTCAGGAGTATTACACAATGCAGTGAAAGTACTTTTGATACTCAAGTACATTCACGAACGAGTACTTTTGTCTTCTCTGGTCACTGTAGTCTGTACTCAAAAATAATTTTATTCAAGTAATAGTTTTACCAAGAGTATGCCTACTTTTACTCAAGTACAGAAGTGTTGTACTTTGTCCAGCCCTGTCAATTTATCCATTTTCTCCATTACATAAAATGGATAGGAAAATAAACAAATTAACTTTATTCATCATAAACCATTGGTCACATGTTTGCTTCCCAGTGTTTATATTTCATCATCCATTTCTTTAATTTGTTCTAACATTTTATATGGTGCTTTTGAAGGTCCAAATGAAGCATACAATGTGGAAACTCACAGGAATACAACAGGGAATAAAAAGGTATGAAGGTCATTTCTTTTCCTGGTGGATTGCTACAAAATGCTAAAGCACAAGTCAGAATCTATCAATTATGCTTAGATATTTTTGCCCTGTTCTTTGTTGAAAACCTTTATAGCCCGTGCAGCTGCTCTTAAAGTCTTTAAGATCTTTGTGGCCATTTTGTAGGCTGATGAAACCGTTTCAAAGATGAACTTTAAAATACCTTTTCTCTTTCTCTCTTTTCCTTCACAGAAAAAGCGATGTAAAATGAAGTCTGCTGTAAAACCAGAGACAATAACTCCAGCTGTACTCTCCTCAATCCCTAATGGGAGACTGCAGTGTAACAGCCTCCCTTCTCAGGGCTTGGACTTAAAACGGTCATCCTGTGGCCCTGACCCCTCTCCCTTCACCTTCAGGGACCCTCCGTCTGAGGGCAGCTCTGAGGCCTCTTCCCAGTCAGACGATCCATCGTTCTGTGGCATCTCTACCTGCGGCCGCCTCTGTGAGGGTCTCCCTCCTCCAAAGAGCCGCTCAGAGAAGAGAGCGCTCAAGCGGCGGCGTTCCAAGCCTTCCTGCACTGTGGTCCAGCAGCTCCTCCAGCCTGCACAGAGCAGCGGCCCACTGGTACGGCCTGGGCCCACCGTGCAGGGTTTCATTAAGACAACCACAGAACTCAGTGCAGGCAGGGTAGAAGTCACCACCATCTCTGGACTCACTTGAACAGTTTTGACTGAAACACACTAACGCTGCTGATATCTGCAGGTACTGCTGATTGGTGGCTACTAGCTTTCTGTCATTAGCAACGTTAGCACTCTGTTCAGCTTATTACTTTAACTCCCATTATAATACCATATGAATCCTGTGGATGTATGAAAACTGCCCGCGATTGTGGGAACCCTGAACAGGGTTGTGGACTCTGAGACAATCGTCCACTCTTGTGCCAAGCACAGAGGGATCAGTCAAAGCTGAAAGCATGACTCAAACATGATCAAATATATCGCTGCACTGCTACTCGGAGAAAAATTATTTGCACAGTTTTTAATCTGGTTAAGACCAGAGTAACAGTTTGGCTTCACTCAGTGATTTTTAGACTTTTGTCTTTGAATGTCAGTGAATGACCTTTTGAAGCAGTCAGGAACAAAAGCAGGTTGTTAATGGACTGCAGATTATTTTTT